AGAGCCCGGCGTTGCCCAGGGATGTAACAGTAAGAGATAGATCAAGTGTCAACCATCATAAAGACTGAAAAATAAAATTGATAAAGATTATTGTTTAAGGTTGACGGACACGCATGTCTTAATTAGTTTTTTTTTTTTTTTTTTTTTTTTTTACGAATTGGTCAAACTCAAACAAAAACATTGTTTTCAATCGTTATGAGTCTACCGATTGAATAGAATTTTATTATAAACAATTGTCTTGTAAATGGAATTTTTAAAGCATTCTGAATGTAAAAATAAAGAAAAAAGTGTGCAAGACAATAAGAAACACTACCTGCCAAAAAAAAAGTGGAGTTTTGTTGAAATCGGTTGAAAAATGTAGGAAATCTGATCCCATATATAAACGAACACAAAAACACACACACACAAACAACCTGAGTTTTATAATAAGTATAACTCGATATGAGTTGTCCTCCTTTCATTCCGCAAAATCGATGCCTCTTAATCGTATTTTCAAATTGATTTCATGCAAAAACAATTGTGTTTTTCCAATTTTTGGCACTGTCAGAACCACTGCAAGGTAATTTTACGTAGTCCTGTGAAGTTTTGTTGAAATCGGTTGAAAAATGTAGGAAATCCCATCCAATATATAAACAAACAGAGACACACACACAACCTGGGTTTTATAATAAGTATGATGCTGATTTTTTTTTCTTTTTTTAGGTGCAATTCAAAGTTGATAAAGTAAAACTGCCATCATCGTTAGACAACATTGGGTGTGTCTTCTCCTCTGACAATGCTTTAGAAGAGACTCAAGCCTCAATCCAACAGGATGTCATCATTTGTCCCTTACCAAATCACAAGAACTTACCGGAAATACCAAACGGTGAGGGTGAGTTTGAAATCATATCACTAACCCCACTTAAAGCCCAACGCACAACTAATCATCCCCAATTAACCCCACCCAAATAATTTTTCAGGGTAGGTCTTTTTTTCTATGAAATAAATTACTGCTTTGTTTTCATTGCTTAAAAGATATTTTTTGATACACTGCTACCCTAACGACAGGCAAATGGCCATGGAATACCAAAGTTTGGAGTGTAGAGAATTTTATTTTGTCGTAAAATGTTTTTCCAATTTTCTTAACGAAAAGGTTTCAATCATCTTCAAGAGTAGATGTTAAACTTAAACAGCCTGAAAAATCAGCATTCAAATATCGGGTTAAATTGACCTTTTTTTAATACTAAATTCATTTAATTTAAGCCTTAAGAGCCTAAGGTAGAGCGTTACAATCAAAATTGTAATGCTGAATAGTTTTAGTTCGTTGATTTGATTTTATGGCAGGTTATTCAACGCCAGAAAATACTTTTATTTTGTAAGAATTTTTGTGGTGTAGATAATAATTTAGTGATAAAAGTTTTACTAATTAACCCATAGCTTGGGGTAAAGTTCCATTCAGACAGCTTTTTCCCAAAGAACCAATACTTTGTGAAACAGACTCCTGAGAGGATGCTTCCCCAATCATGAAATCTTAACCTCTTCAAATCTAGGGTTCTGTTATCTTTTATATATATATATATATATATATATATATATATATATATATATATATATATATGCTCATACACTGTATTTCTTACCTCCCCCTCTTCTGTTTCATACAGCAATCTCATTGAGTGGATCTTTGTTTCTGTTGCTTCATGTCTCTTCATCTCTGAGGAGATTGTCCAGCATTCATTGCCATATAGGAGGACTGATATTACATAACAGTTCAGTAGTCTTTTCTTTGTTTGTCATGAATTTTTTTGTTTCTTAATACATTAATGGGTGACAAAATCTAAGTCAGTAGGAAACAGATGCAAATTGATGCATTTCTTTTTTTTTTTTTTTTTTAAATAACTGGACAAAACATTAAACCTTTGAAAATGTTATTTAATGATATAAATGTTAAACTTTTTTCAGAAAATTATTTTTTTCTTCATTGTTTTTCAATAATTTAGGTATTGAATTCTCCAGAATTTTCAATTATCTGAATATATTTTTCCCACCCCTTTCTCAAGGTATGCAGATTTTTTGATTGATTGCTTTATTTTTTATGGTTTATCAACCTTTTTTAGATTATTTAAAGCCAAACCATATTTTAGGATTATAAAAATATTTTTTGCAAGTGAATGTTGTATTAACAATATTTGTAGATAAAAATGACTATTAGTTACAAGTTCTACTATTTAACCTATAGCTGGGGGAGAGAAGAGATGGATTTATACCTTCCCCATAGTTAGTTACATGTAAGTTAATGTAACGAACCAGACTGCAATTCAAATTGAACTCAGCTCTTATGATGCTAAGTGTAAAAGAACTGGAAATATGATTACTCCACTTGGTTTTGCTAAATGTTGTTAGGCGGCATTCTTGAAGTTTCCCTGATCTACTAATGACTGAACTCTTTTCCACTTTCCAAGACATCTTTTGAACATGTTCTGTCAGCTCTACTCATGAATTGGTCGTTCTAACTCGGTGCAATGTTGACTTGAGCTTGACCATTCTAACCATCATTATCTTCTTTATTTATATTTTCAACAAGCACCTTCATTAAAATGCACACAACCCTACAACCTATTAACCTCCATAACTCTGCAATTTCTTATTCTGGGCCATTATCTATTATGCACATCCAAGCTTGCAGCACCAGGCAAGCACCATAACCCATAATGTGCAAATAACCAAGATAGTACTGTAATATTCACAAAGAAACATAAACCGTGAGGGAACGAATTAAATGAGAACCTTGCCTATGAAAATTTTTCTTCAACAGGTGACTCGACTTCTCAGGAGGCTATTTGATATTTATATTACTGATGGGCACATTCGGCAAAAAGATACACCCTTCCTTCCATATAGAATGGACATTTGAGAAAAAACCAGTTCATTGATTGAAGAAAACATTTTGGCCACAGCAAAAGCCGCAGTTGATGATTCCAATCGGTTATGGATTAATATCTGAGGTTTCTTGTATCTAAAAAGAAAAACATATCTAAAATAAACTCCCTCTGTCCATTTCAGATAATACAGACATGAATGTTGAGTTCCGTGTCGATGGTCAGGCTATTGTGAAACGAAGTGTAAAGATTTTTGATTGCAAGGTGCACACTACGTAAGTATTTTAGTTTTTTGCATACGATTAAAAAAATATATTTAACATTTACAAAATAATTTAACCCAATTCCACTGTAATCAATGCCTATAATTGAATCAAATTTTTAGATTCACAAACTATACTTTGAATAATGGGGAGAACTTTCCAAAAAAAAAAACTGATTCGTATTGTTACAGCCATGATAACATTGTATTCATTAGTACTTAAGAGAATGCATGGTCGTTTATTTATTTGCCAATGTTTAACATTTGTGTCCTAAAAAATGCCCAGTTTGACAAAGGATGGCTTTTCCATTGACACCACTATAATTTTAACTACCTTCACTCCTCAGCAATGTTTATTTACAAAATTATAAAAATGTATGGTAAACTTGGACATTCATGCCTTCAGAAAAACAGTGTGTCAAAAGGTCATTTTTTTTCCATTGACACAGCTATCATTTTAATTACCTTCATTCCTTGGCAATGTTTATTCTTTTAAGATTGATGATTAGAATTGTAATAAAACATAAGCATATGATGAAAGTGAATTTTCTTTGTTCTTGAGAATTGAAAACAAAAAAAACATCAGCTAATTGCCAATCGATTCAAACTTTTTCAAATGGTAAATAATAACTATTTCCTTATTGTTGGTTTACATATTTAAATAATTTAGTAAAAGTTTATAAATTTATGAATAAAAAATTGTTTTCATATTTATTTCTTTATAAATTGATAAATGATAAATGTTGTATTGAATTAGTGTTTAGAAGGTAGCAAGTATAAAATTATTATCTTTAAATAAACAATCTAGTAAGTAAATAACTAGTATTTTTGTTGTCAATTCTCAAGAATAAATTAAACCTATATATCCACTTTCATATTTTAGGGTTTTATTAAAATACTAATAATCACTTTTTAGAACATTTGTTTTAATTTTGTTGTTAATTATTTATTTATTTAATTTAATATTTAATTTAATAATTAAATATTTTATAATTTAATATTTAACATTTAATAATTTTAATTAATTAAAATACTAATTAAAAAATACTATAAGTAGTATATTATTTTATTATTATTATATGGTAATTAGATAATTAAGTATTATTAATTATTATTATTTTTTATTATTAATATAATAAATATTATTAATTAAATATTAATTAAATTAATACTAGTAGAAATACTAAACAATAATAATAATTTTAATTTAATAATATTTAATATTTTATAATTTAATATTTAATAATAATTTTAATTAATTAAAATACTAATTAAAAATACTAATTAAATATTATTTTATTATTATATGGTAATTAGATAATTAATTATTATTATTATTATATTATTAATATAATAAATATTATTAATTAAATTAATACTAGCAGAAATACTAAACAAAAAAATAATAATTTTAATTTAATAATATTTAATAATTTAATTTAATAATTTAATATTTTATAATTTAACATTTAATAATAATTTTAATTAAAATACTAATTAAAATTACTAATTAAATATTATTATTTTATTATTATCATATTGTAATTAGATAATTAAGTATTATTAATTATTATTATTATTATATTATTAATATAATAAATATTATTAATTAAATATTAATTAAAATCATACTAATGGAAATACTAAACAAAAATAATAATTTTAATTTAATAATATTTAATAATTCAATTTAATTTTTAATTTAATTATTTATCATTTATTTTTTCCCCCCCCAAATTAGGTGCACAAAATGTACAAATAGTGATTTCTCCTGCCAATGGTGTCCTTACACTGGAACTTGTGTCGATTCATCAAGCAGTTCTTGTACAGACACTAACAATGCACAATCAACAGTAAGTATTTTTTTAAAATTCTAACAGATTTTAATGAAATATTAGCATTTTTGTTTTAATGTATTTAGATATGAAATAGTTCTTCAAAACAACTTTAATTTTTAAAATTTGAAATTGTCTCTGTTAAGTTCGTCGTACAAGTGCCCTACAGTCCCAGAAGCTGGTGTGAATGTGAATTCATGTTTTAATAAACAAGACCAGAGTAAGTCTCTGACTTGAGTTGTAAGAGGGGTCCCTGGGCATTTCCAAACCTCTGCACATTACTGTCATGTCAGGAATGATCCGAAATGAATTTAACGTTCATCTTCACCTAAAAAGAATTGTTGTGATCCCAGTAGGTACTGGTTTAACTCAAAGACATACCAAATTAAGCTTTGTACTTGGCAGTTCTGAAACAGTTCGGCGGACCTCATATGTGCAGCAGAAGAGGATAGCAGGTGAGGCAGAAGGACTGAAAGACAATCAAAGATTTAGAAACATTTTTTAAAAATTCATATGCCAAAAATATATGTGATTTCTAATTTTAAAATATTATTATGGATTACTTATAATTGCATGAGGAGTCATGGTGGAGTAAGGGATAGAAAGTATGTATATTTCATTTAAACCCCCCCACCACCACCACCACTGATCAGTCAGTTATGTGCCATGCGTGATACATGTTAGGTGATCATGTATCTTTCGATACATGACTGACGAGGCAGAATTTTTAGGTTGCCATTTTTGTCTGTGATAGACCTGTTGCCATCCAAGGCTATAGAACCCGGTCTGTACTGCTATTTACCCATAGCTGGGGGGAGAAGAAGAAAAAGATTCATACCTTTCCCAAGGGTATTAGCACATAAATGAATGTAATGGATTCGACTGGAATTCAACCTTTTCTCTCCGATTCCTCAATCCGAGCCGCTATCCATTACTCCACCTACTGATACATTTCCAATAACCTTGCTTTTCTCCTCCTCACCTTCTATCACCCTTCATGCTTGCGTTTATTTATTTATTTATTTTTAAATGATAAGCGTTCATTTATTTTTTAAAAAATAAACCATTAAGAAATCAATTGACCAGAATCATCTGAAGATACCAAAAGATTGTAACCAAGGTAGTTTAATCAGCTGATCTCCTAATTTATATATATATATATATATATATATATATATAATGTTGTTGACTTATGACCTGATTAAGTTCTAAAAGATGGAATGTGTCACATAAGTTTTTTCCATTTTGTCATATATCTTTCCCCTATATCTGTTTTTGATATATAAAACTTTATATATCATTATCCCATGTATATATATATATATATATGTGTGTGTGTGTGTGAAAAATATATAGAAAATAGGAAAGAACTCGTTAGGTAAATAATCAAAAGTTCTTTAGTATTTTAGTTATTATTTTTTCAAAAATAGTGCTCGATACAAAAGTAGAGCCTAAATATAATTATTTGTTTAAAAATATGATTCCAACACGCTACATAAGAGTTCTCATGTTTCAAAACAAGAGCCGAAAACTATTTAAAGTTTTCAGCTCCTGTTTTGAAACATGAGAACTCTTATGTAGCTTGTTGGAATCATATTTTAAATAAATAAAATATATAAGTTTCATTAAAGTAAAAATAAAACCATCCTTGATAATGGCTAAAATTATAGCCAAAAACACTCAGACATACAGAACATTTGGACAATTTCTACATAATTTGTGTCCAAAAAAGAAGAAAAATTAAATAAAAAACTTAACCACAGTACCTTCTTAAATTTATATATGTTCAAAAATCTATTTTTTTCTTAATATTTATAGTCACCTATATTCCGACAACTCGATCCCTGAGGAATATCCAGTTATCTTCCTAAATATTTCTTTTTTTGCCATACATGATCATTCTGCTACCACTCTGAGTTGTGGCATAATAGCAATTTGTTCAGTTTTTCCCCCACATGTATTCCTTGTCAAAATTCATGGCATTATCAAACCCCCTTTTCCTTATGAACATGTAAGAGTCTTCATGAATGTACCCTTCTTAAATAAGATATTACAGTTGGTGAGTGTGTGGCTTTGGATGTTTCTGGTGGCTTTATTGCCTTGCTTGGGGTGAAAGGATTAAAAAAAAAATCCCAGTATTTGTAATGGAATAGAAGCATGTGTTTCAATGTTACTTTATTTTTAAAATGCTAAATGGGTTTGTTATTTTTTTGTTTTTTCAATATCTGTTTATATTTTTTAAATATTTATTTACACTAGTTAGAGTGTTTAGACTCTTATCCTCATCTTTATTGCCATTTTCATGACATTTCGGCTGTTGTACACTGCGACTTCTTCAGGTGATATTTCCAACAATATCACTGTACAACAGGTAAAATGTTGTGAATATGGCAATAAAGATGACGGAAACAGTCAGAACAATGTAAATAATGTAAATGTGTTCAATTTTGTGCGTTAATTTTACAGCCACAAAGTGACATCCGAAATCCGGACAATTGCCCTCGTCTTGTCAATCCATCTTCAGATATTGTGGTACATTCAGGTGAGAAGAAACAAGTCAAAGTGACTGTACTCAATTTGGAAGTAAGTAAAAAAAAAAAAAAAATTTTTAAATACTATTTTAAAAAATTTTTTCTAAATATTATATAAAAAAAAAAATTTTTTAAATATTATATAAAAAAAAAATTTTTTAAATATATAAAAAAATTTTTTTTTAAATATTATTTTAAAGAAAAATTTTTTTTAAATATTATTTTTAAAAAAATTTTGTGCAAGCAAAGATTTTCCTTTTGTGTACTCCTCTGCAATTCATTTTCTTCTTTTAATGAAAAACTCTTGTGTTTCTTCATCTCTTATCAGCTTTGATTAAATTTTTGTCTGTAAAACATTTGGAAAGCAGAAATGGGGGTGCTGAAAAATTCCCAGTTCCCCAAAATCTGTTCTCTGATATTTGGTCATCGTAATACAGATGCATGCAAGTCAGGACAAGTATGTGCTATGAATCCTTCTCTTCTCCCCCATCTATGGGTTAAAAGATACTCTGGTTGACAGCCAGTATAGGAGAAAGACAACTTTGATAACAAAACCATATATGGCCTTTGTGGAACATTTATTTAAATTGTAACTAAATTACAATCAGCATTGTTCCAGGTGGGGTCTGTGGGTTTTGAAGAAACACAGAGGGGAAGCAAGTAGCCTGTCTGTAGATTTTCATTGTATCTTCAAGTCAAAACAGCATTGACTCAGACCAAGAACTCTGATATCCCTTTGCATGTATGCATGTGTCTGTGTAATAAAAAAGAAGACAAAAACATTTTCATCACTATTTTTACACACACACACACATATATATATATATATATATATATATATATATATATATATATATATAAATTAATTGATTTAAAATATGTTTTTTTTCATAGCAGTTCTAACCATGTTTTTTCAAAAATGGAAGCTAAAGCCAAATTTAATTTTAAATTAAATTAAAGACATTAGTTCCATTTCATCCTTAAATGGAACTAATGTCTTTAATTTAAAAGCAAAATTAAATTTGTGGCTTTTAGCTTCCATTTTTGAAACATGGTTAGAAATGTGTAGTGGAAAAAAAACATATTTTAAATCAATTAATTTATAATATTAATGCTCTGTAAATTTACATTGAGCACTATTTTGTATAAATAAAAATATCTATAAGAACACCGGATTATATATCTTACTGTTCTTTCTTTTTATTTAAATAATACATATACAGTATAACCCGGATATAAGAGAGTTGTCGGGACCGGAGAAGAAGTCTCTTATATCCGGTTTCTTTATATCCGGGTTTGGTCTATTTTATATACATTAACACAGGCTCTAATTTGGAACCAGAGAAAATCTCTTATATCCGGTTACACTATATATATATATATATATATATATATATATATATATATATATATATAAATCTAAATCTCCAGCTAAAAAACAAGCTTTGATGTTATATTTGCCCTCAAATAATGCCAAAATAAATTCAATATTTTTTTACTTATTCAAGGCTAGGCAGTGAGTAGCCCTGGTCAAATGCAAAATAAATAACAGAATTGTCCAACAATCAGAATTAACAAAGTTTGGAATAAAAAGTAAAAGTAACAGAGCAAAAATGAAATAATATCAAGGAAGAAAGCAAACAATATATGCAAGGCAAATTGACAGTAAGAAAGTAAAATTTCACAAACTAATTGACGTCGACACACAAATGCATGCTGGGATTTTTTCTTAGCCAATAAAATAGGCCGGTCTGCGTTTGTTTGCCTCTGCCTATAAAAAAAACGATGGGGAAGTGTTTTGTAGTCCTTCCCAAGACGTTGAAATCAACAAAGGGAAATAACTTTGTTGAAATCTTCTGAATTATCTACCTTACTTTAATTTTTGCAAAAGTAATGATTGTGAATTACAGTCAGTTGAAATATGAACACAGTTTGGTAGTGCTGACATTCAAACCAAAACCTATACACCATCCTATATTCTCCTTCTTCTGAATGCCGACAGAGAAGCAAGAGATACATTAAAAAAGACCCCGTCAAACATAAAAATACCGCATACCGATCTCATATCAATTCTCAGAAAATTCATCTTGGACAAATGACAAATTAGTTTTGGTTTATTTTGTTTTACGGCATAGCAACACCTCAATGGGTTATTTAATGCTGAGAAGATTTTGACGATAGGTTCGTATAAATAGAATATGTATTCTTTGTCAGAAAGAAGTTTCTAGATCAGGTTTATTGACATATTTATTTATTTCATTTTTTTTATAAAGAAGTTTTTATCGAGAGTCAAATCTGTTGTTTTTTTAATGTATTGCGGGTACTATTTTTTACCAAAAATATATTACTGGTCTTTTTACTATAAAAACCTTATATATTACTGGTCTTTTTTACTATAAAAAACTATTTTTAGTGTTTTGACTCCACCCTGACCCTAACAGGTGCTACCACCCAGGGTCAGGGTGGACCTAGAAACAACTGCAATTAAAAGGTTGTGCCATGATCCTCAAAACCTCCGGATCGGAAGTATTGCTGCTGGATGTAGTATATCGTCATACCCAGGACATAAAAATGAATGGAACAAGCACATAAATAATAAACTCTATAGAATCCAACCAGACATCAAAAAATGGCAAACTGGTTATAGAAAAATAAGAAAAAACGAATCCGTATTAGCTCGGCTCTGACTCGGCTGCACTTTTAGTATTCACATCGACATAATAAAAAAGAAAGATCCACCTATGGGCTATACGTATAATGAACAATATATGGTGGAAGCCATACTTATAAAATGTATAGATTTGTTTGGTCCGTGAAAAGTCATCATGATCATCACCATCATCATTCCCTTGACTTTTGCAATCGTGGGGGGATTTGAATGCAGAAGGTATATTGAATCTACTCTACAACAGTTTATCCACAGCAGCCATCAGCAATTCTGGTATAGTCATACTTCTCCATTGTTCAACCAGTTTTTGCATTGGTGTCCTCTCCTCCATCCACCTTGCATGTTGGTCCTGAACAGGCTGTCATCCCTTGTAACATGTCCAAACCACGCCATTTTTCTCTGTTTGACAGTGGCAAGAAGAGGTTTTATATATATATATATACCTGTGTAATTATGTATGTACTGTATATAATATATTATCATCATCATTCCCTTGACTTTTGCAATCGTGGGGCGATCTGGATACAGATGATATATTGAATCGCCTCCACAATGGTCTATCAACGCCAGCCATCAACAATTCTGGTATAGTCGTACTTGTCCATTGTTTGACTTTGTCCAACCAGTTTTTGTGTTGGCGCACTCTCCTACGTTCACCTTCAATGGTGCTTTGCATGATGGTCTTGCACAGCAAGTTGCGCCTTGTGATATGTCCAAACCACATCATTTCTCTCCTTCTTTTGACAATGGCAAGAAGAGGTTTTTGGTGTCCCACAAAACTTTCTACCCAGTTCCACACAAACTGACTGATTTTAGGTTCCCAATAGAAAATGCCAAGGAGATTTCTCATGCATTTGTTCTCAAACGCTTGGATCCTTCTCTGTATTGGCCAACAGTGTCCACATTTCACATCTATATAAGTGAAAAGTATTATCAGGCAAACAATATGAATGAACTCTACAACTAAATAAAATAATTAAATTTCTGAAGGAAACAAAGATATATTCAAAAATTTAAACAATAACTAAATTTTACTAATAAGTAAATAAATGATGAAAAAAAAATAATCTCCAACTGAACTTCATACCAAAATCATTAACTTTAAATGAAATCCTTTACAAAGGCTATTACTTTCAATTGAATGACACTAAAATATTATTCACAAATTAAATCTAATACACAAACCATGATTCCCAATCAAATTTTATTAAACATGAAATGACCGAACAAAAGTTGATATGCGTTTAAATCTAACAATCAAATCAAATCTTCTTTAAGAGGTGTTGCAGATTTGAATCAATCCACTTTAAATATAAAAACAAGATATTTTTTATTTTCGTGTTTTGTTTTACAACTAAATGTTTCTTAGCATGTTAAAGTTCTTACAGTCCTTGTTTGTAGTTGTTTAAGAAGAAAAGAAATGTGATTTCTTCGCCTGTATTTGTGAGAAAGAAGTGGCAAGGACAAAAGTGTAAGTGTCACGTAGCTTTGAAAGAGAGACGGGTGAATGAGTAAGGGAATTTCTTTTAAGCCAAGCATTGTGAAGTACCACTGTCTGTATCTTCTTACTGGTTTGTTTGTCTAGAAACTTTGCTTAAATTCCATTGAAAGGGATCACAAAGAATTGTTTTTATTGTTGACAGGAAGGTGACCTATTATTTGAAAAATCTTAAATATTTATTTTCAAAGCATTAATTTATTAACCAGAAATGCGCCATACTTTGACTCTGAAACCATTTTTTGTCATTTATTGTTTGACAGTCTTTGTGTATATTTCCGTTTTCGCTCCACGGAGGTATAGGGTTGTAAATCTTTCTCATAGTATTTCAATGGATCAAATTTATTTTCAGCCTGACCAGAAACAAGGACTGAAGTGTCATTTCTCTCTTCTGGGCAAGAAAAAAACTGTCACCGCCAAAGTAACAAATGACGATCTTATTTGTCAAACGACAGAGGTAAGGTGTTAAACTGGAACAATTTTTTTTTTCTCTTTGCTTCTCCTTTCCTTTACTCACTCACCTTCTATATCTACTCTCTTTCTTTCCTCCCCTTATCTTTTCTTCTTTCTTCCTTTCTCTGCCCTCCCACTTAGCTTTTCTTCTCTCTTCCTTTCTTCTCTTTTCTCTCTTCCATTCTCTTTTTTCTTCTCTTTGCTTCCTCCTCCTCACTTTCTCTTTTCTTCTAACTTCATTTCATCATTTATCTTTTCTACTCTCTTTCTTTCTCTGTCTCTCTCTTTCTTCACTTTCTTTTTCTCACTTGTCTCTTCCTTTCTACTGCTCTCCTTTCTTTCTTTCCCCTCCCATTCTCTTTCTTTCAATCTTCTTTTCTTCCATTCCTCCTCTCTTTCTATCTCTTCTATTCTCTCTCTCTCTTTTCTTTACCTTTATCTCTTTTATACACTTCCCTTTTCCATTACTTTTATTCTCTCTTACTGCGTTTCTTATTTTCTCTTTCTTTCTCTCTCACTTTCTATTTCTACATCTCTCTTTTATTCTCTTTCTTTCCACATATCTTTTATTGTCTTTCTTTCCACATCTCTCTTATTCTCTCTTTCTTTCCACATCTCTCTTATTCTCTCTTTCTTTCTATATCTCTCTTATTCTCTCTTTCTTTCTACATCTCTTTTATTCTCTCTTTCTTTCTACATCTCTTTTATTCTCTCTTTCTTTCTACATCTCTTTTATTCTCTTTCTTTCCATATCTCTCTTATTCTCTCTTTATTCTACATCTCTTTTATTCTCTCTTTCTTTCTATATCTCTTTTATTCTCTTTCTTTCTATATCTCTTTTATTCTCTCTTTCTTTCTACATCTCTTTTATTCTCTCTTTCTTTCTACATCTCTCTTATTCTCTCTTTCTTTCTACATCTCTCTTATTCTCTCTTTCTTTCTACATCTCTCTTATTCTCTCTTTCTTTCTACATCTCTCTTATTCTCTTTCATTCTACATCTCTCTTATTCCCTCTTTCTTTCTACATCTCTCTTATTCTCTCTTTCCTTCTACATCTCTCTTATTCTCTCTTTCCTTCTACATCTCTCTTATTCTCTCTTTCTTTCTATATCTCTTATTCTCTCTTTCTTTCTATATCTCTCTCATTCTCTTTCATTCTACATCTCTCTTATTCTCTCTTTCTTTCTATATCTCTCTTATTCTCTCTTTCTTTCTACATCTCTCTTATTCTCTCTTTCTTTCTACATCTCTCTTATTCTCTCTTTCTTTCTACATCTCTTTTATTCTCTCTTTCTTTCTACATCTCTCTTATTCTCTTTCATTCTACATCTCTCTTATTCTCTCTTTCATTCTACATCTCTCTTATTCTCTCTTTCATTCTACATCTCTCTTATTCTCTCTTTCTTTCTACATCTCTCTTATTCTCTCTTTCTTTCTATATCTCTCTTATTCTCTCTTTCTTTCTACATCTCTCTTATTCTCTCTTTCTTTCTATATCTCTCTTATTCTCTCTTTCTTTCTATATCTCTCTTATTCTCTCTTTCTTTCTACATCTCTTTTATTCTCTCTTTCTTTCTATATCTCTCTTATTCTCTTTCATTCTACATCTCTCTTATTCTCTCTTTCTTTCTACATCTCTCTTATTCTCTCTTTCTTTCTACATCTCTCTTATTCTCTCTTTCTTTCTATATCTCTCTTATTCTCTCTTTCTTTCTACATCTCTTTTATTCTCTCTTTCTTTCTATATCTCTCTTATTCTCTCTTTCTTTCTACATCTCTTTTATTCTCTCTTTCTTTCTACATCTCTCTTATTCTCTTTCATTCTACATCTCTCTTATTCTCTCTTTCTTTCTACATCTCTCTTATTCTCTCTTTCTTTCTACATCTCTCTTATTCTCTCTTTCTTTCTACATCTCTCTTATTCTCTCTTTCTTTCTACATCTCTCTTATTCTCTCTTTTCTTTTCATCTCTTTATTCTCTCTTTCTTTCTATATCTCTCTTATTCTCTCTTTCTTTCTATATCTCTCTTATTCTCTCTTTCTTTCTACATCTCTCTTATTCTCTCTTTCTTTCTACATCTCTTTTATTCTCTCTTTCTTTCTATATCTCTCTTATTCTCTTTTCATTCTACATCTCTTTATTCTCTCTTTCTTTCACATCTCTTATTCTCTCTTTCTTTCTACATCTCTCTATTCTCTCTTTCTTTTCTATATCTCTTTTCTCTTCTCTTTTCTTTCTATATCTCTCTATTCTCTCTTTCTTTTTTCACATCTCTTTTATTCTCTTTTCTTTCTACATCTCTCTTATTCTCTCTTTCTTTCTACATCTCTTTTATTCTCTCTTTCTTTCTTTCATCTCTCTTATTCTCTTTCATTCTACATCTCTCTTATTCTCTCTTTCTTTCTACATCTCTCTTATTCTCTCTTTCTTCCTATATCTCTCTTATTCTCTCTTTCTTTCTACATCTCTCTTATTCTCTTTCTTTCTACATCTCTCTTATTCTCTCTTTCTTTCTACATCTCTCTCATTCTCTCTTTCTTTCTACATCTCTCTTATTGTCTTTCTTTCTACATCTCTCTTATTCTCTTTCTTTCTACATCTCTCGTATTCTCTCTTTCTTTCTACATCTCTCGTATTCTCTCTTTCTTTCTACATCTCTCTTATTGTCTTTCTTTCTACATCTCTCTTATTGTCTTTCTTTCTACATCTCTCTTATTCTCATTCATTCTACATCTCTCTTATTGTCTTTCTTTCTAGATCTCTCTTATTGTCTTTCTTTCTAGATCTCTCTTATTCTCTCTTTCTTTCTATATCTCTTTTATTCTCTCTTTCTTTCTATATCTCTCTTATTCTCTCTTTCTTTCTACATCTCTCTTATTCTCTCTTTCTTTCTACATCTCTCTTATTCCCTTTCATTCTATATCTCTCTTATTGTCTTTCTTTCTACATCTCTCTTATTCTCTCTTTCTTTCTACATCTCTCTTTTTCTCTCTTTCTTTCTATATCTCTCTTATTCTCTTTCATTCTATATCTCTCTTATTCTCTTTCATTCTACATCTCTCTCATTCTCTCTTTCTTTCTACATCTCTCTTATTGTCTTTCTTTCTACATCTCTCTTATTGTCTTTCTTTCTACATCTCTCGTATTCTCTCTTTCTTTCTACATCTCTCTTATTGTCTTTCTTTCTACATCTCTCTTATTCTCTCTTTCTTTCTACATCTCTCTTATTGTCTTTCTTTCTACATCTCTCTTATTCTCTCTTTCTTTCTACATCTCTCTTATTCTCTCTTTCTTTCTATATCTCTTTTATTCTCCCTTTCTTTCTATATCTCTTTTATGCTCTCTTTCTTTCTACATCTCCCTTTTATTCTCTCTTTCTTTCTGTCTCTCTCTCTTTCTACATCTTTTTTATTCTTTCTTTATCTCTCTTTCATTTCCTCTTCCTTTCTACATCTCTCTATTATTTTTTATTATGTCATATTCTTTTAGTTTACTTATGCCGATAAAGAAATCCCTTATGTAACGTCATCTTTCCAAGTCACATGGGGAAGCAAAAACCTGCAACTTGACAATCCAGACAACATCAAAGGTAATTTTTTTCATTGTTCAATCCTTGTTATAAGCAATTTAAAGTTAAAAAAAAAAAAAAAACTTACTAAACTCTTGTACTAAAATCAGATATAAAAAATTAGTAAAGACACTAATTTCATCATGCTTAAGGGGAGACAATAAGTACAAAATTATTCTCTCAAATTTCCCAGAATTCCTCTTCAAATGTTAAATAATTGTTTTTTTATTATTTTTAGTGCGTGTTTATAAATGTCCTCTGATGGTGACAAACTGTGGCAAGTGCCTAAGTATGGACGAGGAATACGACTGTGTGTGGTGTACAGGGACATGTACCCTGTCTAAAAAGTGTACAGGAAAATTCTTGAAACGATCAGACACCTGCCCGAACCCAAGAATACTCAGGGTAAGATCAAACAAATTTTTACCTTCTCTAAGAAATTCTTTAATAAAAATTGGACCATCTTTAACCTGCAAAAGAACGATGTGTCAGAAGAACAGTTTTTTTCCTCGACACTGCTATTATTTTAACTACCTTCACTCCTCGGCAATGTTTATTTACAAGATTATAAAAAATATGAACCAAGTACAATGTGATATTTATTATTTGTCATTTTATAAATAAATATGAAATCAATGTATGAAAGAAATATCTGTAAAAAGGCATTTTTTTCAAAATTTACTAGTACAGTTGCTTGTCATTATCTGTTTATTTAAATTTTAATGTTTGTCAGACATTTAGACTTATTAATAAATTTATGAATAAAAAAGTATTTTAAAACAACCAGTCAAAACATGAAAGTGGAATTTACTTTATCAACTGCAAGGATTGCCAGAAAGAATATATTGGAGAAACTTCAAGAAGTTTAAATAAAAGATTATATGAACACAAAAGAGACATTTTAAAAAATGCAATGGTTGTTCACCATAAAGAAACTAACCACAATTTTAACATAAAAATGCTACTCTAATTAAAAGAGAAAAACATTCACTAAGACGAAAACTTCTAGAAAGTGCTTTAATCACTAGTTCAGCCACAGTAAATTTATATCCAGGTTCTTACAATGTTTTACCATTCTTGGCAGATTTTCTGTTGTCAGAATGTGGGATATTTAAGAACAAAGGTGATGGAAAGAAAAAGAATATAGAAGAATTTGGCTAGATTGCAAAAAAATGATTTCAGAAAGTTTTGAAACTACCAGCATCTTTCATTCATACACATGTGTAATCCCAACAACATCAACAAACCCAGTCTGATGAAGTCCTAATGGATGAAATGCATCACAAATAAACTTTTTCCATTTTCTCTTACAATTTGTTACGTGAGGAGGATGCTGAAAAGTTCTCGATTCAACCAAAATGGAATTCAAAAATAAATTCCTAATTTCATTTGGTCCCATGTTTGGAACAGACGTCAGTTAAAAACTCCATTTCATCACAAGTTTGGAATTGGTATCAGTTAAAAAAATTTCATTTGGTCCAATGTTTGAAACAGGCTTCAGTTAAGAACATTTCACTTGGCCACACGTTTGAACAAGGTTCAGTTAAAAACATTTCACTTGGCCACACGTTTGAAACAGGCTTCAGTTAAAACATTTCACTTGACCACATGTTTGAAACAGTCTTCAGTTAAAACATTTCACTTGGCCACACGTTTGAAACAGGCTTCAGTTAAAAACTTTTCATTTGGTCTCATGTTTCAGACAGGCATCAGTTAATAACTTTTCACTGCATATTTTAATGGAATAAATGTTATTCTTTTATTTTTGAAATTGGCACCTTTTTTTAAAATTCTTTTTTCTTTTTTACAGTTCAGTCCTGGGACTGGTCCAATTGGGGGTAAGACAGTTATTTCAGTGACTGGTATCAATCTGGGGAAACGTATAAAAGATCTGAGTGGAGAAGTTACAGTTGCAGGCGTTGATTGCAAAGTCCTATCAACTGACTATCAAATATCTTCTGGGTAAGAGCACTTCAAAATCAATGGAATTGTTCCTTCAAGATAATTATAACAGACTGAATTTTTTAACTATTTTTGTTTATTATTAACCATTTCTTTGAGTTATTCAGCTAGAAAGAGAACAGGTTAAAATCATTTTGTGTCAGCCTCACAAATATATATATATATATATATATATATATATATATATAATATATGTAACTATACTCATTTCGAAAAACCTTGGAATTTTTGATTTGCCAATAATCAAATCAATCTCAAAGGAAAAAAAGGTTTTAAAAAAAGAAAGAGCTAGAAACATGAAAGTCTGTCAAAAAAAATCACAGAAATACAGATTTAAAGCCCAAAGAAAAAACCCCGACATGAGTAAAGAACTAACTAAAAGAGCTCAATACAACCATAGAGCAGACCTAGATAAACCTAGTGAGCCAGACAAACCTACCCAGGTTTCACCTAAGCGGATCGTCAGGGAAAGATCCGAGTGGAGAAGTTACAGTTGCAGGCATTGATTGCAAAGTCCTATTAACTGACTATTAAATATCTTCTGCATAAGAGCACTTCAAAGTCAATGGAATTGTTCCTTCAAGATAATATATATATATATATATATATATATATATATATATATATATATATGCACATATATACATATACAATTATACAAATATAAGAGGAGGAAGTGAAAATAATACAAAAAAAATGGCTTCATCAAGGAGCTCCTTTTCTCAGTGGTGCCATGTTAACCCACCCCATCATGTGAGTTTAGCCTGTTTTTTGAGGAGCATGGCACGAGAGATTTAAAAGATGGGTGAGGACCCGTGTGCCAGACACCTATGAACCTATCTCTTCCTAAATGTAATGTCAATTATTATCTTTTGTCTTCACTCTAATTCTTTTCTTGTTTTCTCTCTATAATGTTTATTTTTTTCCTGATATTCTTTCACGCTCAGTAACCTCGTGTGTGTCTTACAGCTATATCATGTTGAAACACTGGTTCTCATGTAATCACCAAAGTTAAGTAACATCGATCCTTGTCAGTACTTAGATGGGTAACCGGTTGGAAATATCAGGTGCTTTAAGCTTGGATGTGCAGTTAATGTAATGGATAATGGCTTGGAATTGTTAATCACAGAGCCAAGTTCCTAATCCTGTAGTCATTATTTTTAATTATGCACAAATCCTCTTGGGGAAGTGTATGAATCCACATCTAAGTCACTAAGAAGCACAGAGGAAACGTGACTTTTTCATTGTTTATCTTTGGATATTATTTATTTTTCTCTTTCTTGATTTCCAGTTTTGATTGTGAAACAGATATCCAAAAATCCGCAGCCCGTGGAACTATTCAAGTCACTGTGGCAGGCAAATACCCAGCGGAATCAGATGGAATTTTTGAATTTGTGGTAAGTATAAATAGATATGAACACATATAAATAGATATGAATAGATAGAGATATGAACAAATGTATTTAGATAGCTAGACATGAATTGAATGAGATAGATAATAGATAGATACAGATGTATAAGATGGGTTACTAGACAGACATATATGAATTGATAGACGTATAAGATGGACTGCTAGACATATAAGATGGATTGATAGACGTATATAATGGATTGATAGACGTATAAGATGGATTGATGGACAGATATAAGTGACAGACTGCATAGATAGACATGACTGATTGATAGACAAACTAGATAGATGGATAGACATGATAGCCATGATAGACATAACTGATAGAAAGACAGACATGATAGACATGACTGATAGAAAGACAGACATGTCTGATTGATAGGCAGACATGATAGACACGATTGATAGACAGACATGATAGATATGACTGGTAGATAAATAGTTATATATTTAAGTCTTTAAGGGATTTCTTATAAAATGATATCTGAGCAGACATTCTTTAATAAGACTTTCAATAACCTATGCTAGTAGACATTAATTTCAGTGTTTGTAAATGAACAGAGATATGTACTAAAATGTGTATCCAATAGAATAACATTTACAGCAATAAGAAATGTGTAAGAGGTGGGATTGAGTAGTTTCATTTTTATACTGCTTTATAGAATGCCACTTGGTGGGCATTAAGAGAATTTCTCCTGGTAGATACTGTGGGATAATCCCACATCTTCCTTCCTGATATTTTGTGCCTTTATTATTACACTGTAAGATGCTGACAAAACCTAAATATTAACCTGAAAAGTCATCCTGTTCATAAAGAGCCTTATAAAACAAAAAATGGCTTCAAGCGAGTGAATACTCTGAGTCTTCATCAGATCTTATAGATTTGTGCTACACAATCACAAAAGAGCTTTACAAAACAACAACTAAAATGCATAGCAAATGTAACCAGAAGGGAAAATAATGATATAATCAAAATATTGGCTTTCAACACCACCTTAAACAAAAGGTTAGGAAGGAAACACCAAAAAAAAAAATTAGCAAATGTTCCTGCAAAAGATTAGTGGGTCAAAAGAACAGTTTTTCTCTTGATACCCTCAGCAATATTTATTGTTTTAAAAAGGGTATTTTTAGAATTAAAGAAAAAGTAAACAAACATAGACTGGATTTATAAATTTTTAAATAAACTATAAATTTTGAAAAATTTGTTTTGCTTTTACAAGGTGCATTCAATTTTGGATTTTGAAAATCTAATTGCACATGATGCCTTAAAAAAATTAAAAAAATGGAGTTATCTGAGATACAGTTCAAACATTTTTATAAATTTATGAATAAAAATTTTTATTCATATTATTTATTTATAATATAGTAAATAATAAGCAAACTTGGATCTTCATACCCACAAAAAATGGAGCATAAAAAGAATTGTTTTTCCCTTGACACCGCTATTATTTTAACTACCTTAACTCCTCGGCAATGTTTGTTTCAAAAAAGCAATGGTTAGAATTGCAATAGAACCTAAACATATGATGCAAGCAAATTTATACTTTTTTTGTTCTTGAGAATTTACAATAAAAATATTAAAAACTATTTATTTATTTCATTGTTTATTAACAAGAGTAATTTTATATTTACAACATTATAAAATCTATTAAAATTTAAATTAAATGCAATGAAATATTTATTATTTAGGAATTTATAAGGAAATAAATATGAAAACAATTTTTTATTAATAAATTTATAAACATTTACTGAATTATTAAAATATGCGAACCAACTCTAAGGAAATCTTTATTATTTACCATTTTATAAAGTTTGAAATAATTGGTGATTGGGCGATGTTTTGTCAACCATTCCAATAAACAATCTACCAAATAGTGTTTATTATTTTTGTTGCCAATTCTCAAGGACAAAGAAAATGTATAAATTCACTTTCATCATATGTTTAGGTTTTATAACAATTTTAATCATCACTTTTTAAAAGAATAATCATTGCCGAGGAGTGAAGGTAGTTAAAATAATAGCAGTGTCAAGGGAAAAACTATCCTTTTGACATTTTGTCTTATTGCATACAAAAATGTCCAAGTTTGCCAATAAAACTTCCCTGATGATGTAGAAAGCAGCCATGAGTGAAATCTTTTGCATTTCAGCCAAACTCACATCACCAGAATTTCAAGAAACATCAGCATAAAAATTTCCTTTAGTCATATATTGTGGTTGTCCCAACACCAAATTCCACAGTCAGAGGCTCGACATTTATATCCCTGTCTCTTTTTTTTTTTTTAATTACACATATGGGTATCTGCAGGAGTTTTTGACTTTTTTGAATAATATCTTTACTGAGCATGAAACACCTGGTAAGTAATCCATAAACAAAGGTGTTGTTGTGACGATTACTAACAAAAAACTGATGTCAACATAGGCTACAAAGCTGGGCTGGAGAACCCCCACCCAGGGCAAAAGAGGTTACTTACAATAGCTACACATGATCTAGGAACCTTCCCATTGCTTTCTGAAAAGTCATGACAGCACCTGAAAAACTTTGAGATTTTGGAATTTCAGATAAAGAATACTCAACCTTTATTATTATTATTTTCCCAGAATCCTTCTCTGAAAGATATCACACCAAACAAAGGACCAAAATCTGGAGGAACGCTGGTGATTGTACATGGGGAACATATGAATACTGGCAGTATGTGGAATGTAACAGTAGGCAATAACCCTTGTGCCATTGTCAGGTGAGATATTGTTTTCTAACAGGTGTGAAGTGATTCATTAGCTGAAGACTTCACTATTTACATTATACGGACAATTGTCCTCAACTTTGTCGCCATATTTATTACAACATTTCGGCCATTGTACACTCCGGCCTTCTTCAGGTAGTTGAAATGTCAAACTGAACCCTTTATTTCACTCACTGGGGTAGACTGTTCTAGTTCCACGTGCCATGTCAGTTATCAGTTATCTCCTGTTAATTCCCCATTCTCCACTGCCTTAACCAGGTATTGAACTCACACTCTTTGGGTCCTGTCACTGGATCTAACTAACGCCTTTATCCACTGTGTAAAGGACCCAAAGAGTGTGAGTTCAATACCTGGTTAAGGCAGTGGAGAACTTGGAGAGGGGAATTAACAGGAGATAACTGACAATTGATATCCATTAAACGTGGAACTAAAACAGTCTACCCCAGTGAGCGAAATAAAGGGTTCAGTTCGACATTCCAACCACTTGAAGAAGGACGGAGCCTACAACAGCCGAAATGTAATAAATATGGCAACAAAGATGAGGACAATAGTCCGAATAATGTAAATAGTGTACATAATACCTCATCTCAGAAATATAGACAGATAGCTGAAGACTTGTTTGAAAATTGTTTTGTTGTGTGTTTGCATGATTGTGACTTTTAGGTACTTGTCGAACGATGACATCATCATGACTTCTGGCCAAAATACTGACTTTACATCCTTGAGTTAAAGATTTTTTCATAAAATGACAGCTTCTTGGTGTCAAAAACATTCTAGATAATTTCTTTCCAGGGGGGATGATCCATACTTATTGGAATCTATTGATTTTATTTTACCAACAATATATCTGCACCTCTTTCTACAGCTTCACATGGCTGAGTTTTGAATTCAGAGACTGGTTTCCAAACAAGGCTAGAGAGCTGACTATGCTCTGCTATTTAACCCATATCTGGGGGAAGGGAAAAAGAGAAATAGTGATTCTTGTATCTGAATAGAACTTCCTCTTTACTAATGGAATACAAAGAGAATGTTTGGTTTGTTTTGTTTTACGGCATATAAACCTCAATGGGTTATTTAATGCTGACAAAATTTTTATTGCTGCTAATATTTTGTTTTGTCAAAAATCTATTTCTGGTAATATTTTTTCCTCAAAAATGTATAGCTGGTAATTTTTTTTCAAAAATGTATTGCTAGTAACACTTTTTTTTTTTTTAGATTTATTGCAGTTAATACTTTTTTACAAAGTATTTCTGGTATTAAAACCTATTTTTACACTTTCATAGTGTTTTGACCCCAGTTTGGAGGTTAACTATTTGCCCACAGCTGGGACCCTAACAGGTGCTACCATGCCAGGTGAGGGTGGACCTGAGAACACCTTCAATTAAGAGGTGGTTCCACGCTGCTCAAAACCCCCTGATCAGATGCCTTGCTGTTGGACGTAGTTTATCATCATACCCAGTACGCGGATGTAGTTTATCGTCATACCCAGGACGGACAAAAAAAATGAGGATGATTTGTCCCAGTATAATTGGCATGGCAGGTCCTAGCTGTGAAGGTCTAAACTGGTGGAACTAAGGAATATATCTTGACAGAAAATTTGACAATTCAAAATATATTAAAATGTCCATTTTTAAAGCCATAAAATTTTGTACTCCTGACAAATTATTTATATATCTGAAGTATTTTCATTATTCCATTGGTTTTTTTCACCCATGATCTTCATCTTAGTTGTTTTTAGCATCACATCTTGGCTAATATCACTTTTGCTTTTCTTCATGTAGTGATTCAGGAAGAAGCATCCTCTTGGGAGTCAATTCTACAAAGTAGCAGTTCTTGAGAATAAGCTGCTTGAATGAAACGTCCATCTTACCACTAAAATACAAAGGGATTGAGGATGGTTTATCCATGCATAGATGGTGTAGTGGGTCTTAGCTGTAAAGGTCTGAACTGGTGGAACTTAAGAACATGGAATAGCAATAGAGTAGTAATCAGCTTGTAAAATTTCATCTGTGAGGGAAAAAGACTGTAGGGTGGAAAAAACCTACAAGGTTGAGTAAAAGATTTTGAACTCTGTTAAAGCTGGAAGGAGTGGATTGGATAGATCGAGCCCAGATATGGTAGCAATACTCCATTTTTGGTTCAATCTGACTCTTGTAAAGATAGAGCATGGTAGGAGGAGTCTGGTACTTTTTGGAATAGTGCAAGGAACTGATCATTCTATCAGCCTCCTTATAAGAAAACATTTGGCATTCATTGGTCAAACAACTAGTTAAGCTTTTTTTCACCCCTGGCCATCGAGTTGGGATCAAAGTGTAGTAAAAAGAAATAAATATATATATATATATATATATAATGAGAGAAAGTGAGACATAGAAAGGGTGAGAGAGAGAAAAAAGAGTGAGACAAATAGTGAGAGAGACAAAGAGAAAAAAAGAGAGTGAGAGAAAGAAAGAGAGAGAAAAGTGAGAGAGACAGAAAGCGAGAAACGGAAAGAAAGAAAAAGACAGACAGGAAGAGGGAAAGAGAAAAAGTGATAGACAGGAAGAAAGAGAAACAGAGAGAGATAAAAAGTGAGAGACAGGAAGAAAGAGAAAGATAAAATGTGAGAGAGACAGGAAGAGAGGGAAACTGAGAGAGGAAGAGAGATAGGGAAAGAAAGAAAGAGAAACAAAAATAGAGAAAGAGATTCTATTATGTATGCAACCCTTTTTGATTTTCATTAATAAGATTTTTTTAATTTTTCCTTGCAGACATAATGCGTCAATTATTGAATGCATCACAGCAGCTGAAGGGGCAGTCACTAGTGCCGATGTACAGGTCAACTTTGGGGGTCTATTGAAAAAATTGGACAAGAAATTTGAATTTGAAGAGGACCCTACCATAACAATGGTTGAACCAAAACGAACAATCTTAAGGTAAGAGACTACTAAAAGTTGAGTACTTTTAATTATACTATTTTGATTTTTTTTTCTAATTATTTACTAAGCTTAGCTTTGTTTGGCACAAGGGCACCAGCTGATGATAACTGGTGCTCCTAAATTATCACCCATCTTAGGACTAACCACATTCAATACTAACTTAACTTCCAGAAGAAATCTTGGCAATATTTAACCTTCATGCTTGCCAAAAACAACGGTGTGTCAAAAGGACTTTTTTTCCCTTAAAACCACTGTTATTAGAAGGTTACAGAGTAAAAGGCATAATTTATGGCAATGATTCTCAAAGTGGCAGTGTTGCATCTAGACCATAACCTACACCACACCCACCCATTGTACCTGAAGTGTATCTTGCCGTCACTTTACAATGTATCCCATTTATATTGTTAAGTAATAATTCAGCAGACTATTATTTTTTAGAGAAGTGTATCACTGCTCTGATTTTCTCAGGTTGACCTTCACGGTCAGATAGAAGACAAAATAAAGAAAGTCGATTTTGATTGGCCGAGTCAGCGTAGGAATGATAGATACAGAGAAACGTTTTTGGAGTTGAGTCTAAACTGTCAAACAATGTAGACGTGTTTCCTTTTTGTGTCTTGAAACAGCTTCCCAGTGAGGTGAGAGTTACTCCACTGGATTGTTAGGGACATATACGTCAGCATTAATAAAATAGTTAAGTTATTATTATCTTTGATGTCTTTTATCACTGGACCCCAAAACTTTTCACCACCCAGCCAGGAGAAGATGAGAGAAGGTGAGAGAAGATACAACAATATGAGTAAATAGGTGCTGTTGACCCCAGCAAGGAGATATGCAACAATATATTATCATGGAAAATACTAAGATACTTATCTGACATAAAATACGAACAACTATACATTTGGGTGGAGGGTTTGGGTTCAGATGCACCACTGCCCTACCCTCTGGCTGTCTGTTTCCAATTCCTGATTCTTTCCGCCACCCCCAGGAGGGAAACCACCTACCTTGGGAATCACTGCCATAAACTGTGCCTCTTACTCTGTAACACTCTACCTAGATTGGCTCTTGGGCCTGTAAAAAAAATAAAAAATAAGTCTTTTTTTTTTCTCTTCTGATTATGATTCCATTCGACTTGTTTTTAGTGGAGGGACCACATTGACTGTGACCGGAACAAACTTGGACCTCATTCAAGAGCCAAAACTCTTTATCAAATATAATAACACCACTAAAGAAGCGGTAAGTAATTGAACTTTGACCTTTTTTCTTTCTTTTTTCATTTTTAATCTTAATTAGATCCTGGTTGATTCATGCAATAAGTATAACTTATTGGAATGCATTAAAAGCATTTTCATATTTTATCGACAACATGGAGAGGGGAAGAGGAACAATGTTACCCTGTAGATTAAATAATCAGCAGATATCTGAAGATCTGAAGAAGTCCAGAGGGTACACCAACTGAAATGTTGTGATAATAACAACAAAGATGAGGATATCAGTCTGAATGTTAATACTCTAGATAAGAATAAATTTGAAAATTTAAAATAAACCAATATTTCTTATTACTCTAAATGCTATACATAAAAATAACAAAAAAAATAAAGTATAAACAGTATATATATATATATATATATATATATATATATATATATATATATAAAAAAAACAGACCACTTTAAGGTACCATTATAATAATTTATTTCACCAGAGTCCTTTTATCCATATGGATTACCAAGTTCTTCATAACTTTTATATATATATGTGAAAAGTATGTGTATATAAATAAATATATATATATATATATATATATATATATATATATATATATATATATGCGTGGTACTTATTAGAAAGTGCTCAATATCAGAGATAGAGCTAACATATTTGGTTGGATTGATGTGAGTTTGTGAAAGCATGAAACCCAGGGTCACAAACTCACATCAATCCAACCAAATATATATATATATATAGTTTGAGGTATGCTATATTTATGGGATAAAGTGCTCAATATCAGAGTTAGAGTGTATGTAAGTATAAATGACAATATAAATATAACAGACTTTCATGCTAAATACAATCATCAGGCCAGATGATTGGGTTTAGCATGAAACAATTTGTCGCCTCTGAGTGTTGTCTTCAGTTTTATAGATATATATATAATTGAAGTCCACACTCAGAGGTGACAGACTGTTTCATGCAAAAAAAAAAATAATGTGTAAACAGAAAATATATATATATATATATATATATATATATATATATATATATATATATTTTTAGACATTTTTTTATGTTTATACATTTCTTTTTATAGGTAAAAAATTTAAGTAAATGCTCTGTTTATAATAAACAGTATTAATAACATTTACCAGCCTGAATGTACGAGAAATTATGATAGAAAACATGTGTTCTTCGACAGGAATCGAACCTGTATCCTATACGGAACCATCATATAGCCTGACATGCTTTTATCGATTTCGCCACAGAGGAGTGAAATATTTAAATATTTATATCTATAAAAAGAATGTATAAACATAAAAATGTCTTAAAATAATTGTCGGACTTTGTCCATTTCATAATATATATATATATATATATATATATATGTTATTTTTTTGTATAGATAGAATTTATTTAAGTAAATTTATAAAAAATAAAATAATGTACAAAGAGAAAATTTATTAAATAATTGTCAGACTTCAGCATCTGTTTTTAAATTAAAATTTATAATTCTTATTTTCAATCTTAAATGTTAATCTGGGCCTAAATTCAAATCCAAAATTAAACTACAATTCATTTAAATACTTAATGACAATAACAATCCACCCTAAGAATAAAATATCTCACGATAACCAGAAATATTAAACAAGGTATAAATCCCAAATTCATACCTGACGATTGCAGGCAGCATGAGTTGTGTGATCAATGTAGGCTTTTATGTATATTTTTTAATATATATATATATATATATATATATATCTGTCTATAACTCTGAGATGAGGTATTATGATTATTTACATTATTCAGCCCAAGTATTGTGAATATGGCAATGAAGATGAGGATAACAGTTCGAATAATGTAATTAAGATATATATATATATATATATATATATATATATGTGTGTGTGTGTTTAAAAATTATTTTATAAATTGATACTGATATTTGAGTAGATGCTCTGTTTTTATTTATTTATTAAACAGTATATTTATTTATTTATTTATATCTATTGGCCTGAATATTTGAGAAAACTTATTAGGAAAAAATTTGCATCTTCCTGCAGGATTTCTAGGGGAAACTGTCATTACATCTGACATGCCTTAGACCAACTTGGCCATGTAGGACTTCCTGATCAAGCAAAGCCCAAATAGTGCATTTGAACACATAATTTCAAGGCAGTACTAAAGGGAATTAACTGACACTGAGATATCCAGAAAAGGCATGGCATGTGGAATTAGAACAATCTTGTCCCAAAGAGTTGTGAGTTCAATATCTGGCCACAGCAAAGGGAACAATAAATTTGGAGAGTTGAGTTACTAAATTGAATTAACTGAAACTAAGATATCCAAAGACATAGTACATTGAATTAGAACCACCCACCTATGGACTAAATAAAGGGTTTGGTTTGAAATTCAAAAAAATATCACCTGAAGAAGGCTGGAGCGTATAATGGTCGAAATGTCGTTTATATGGCAATGAAGATGTGGACAACAATCCAACTGTCCTGGGGTATGATGATAAACTGCATCTGTATCCTGAGTAAAATGATGAGCTGCATCCAACAGCAAGTCCTCTGATCAGGAGGTTTTGAGGAATGTGGAACCACCGCTTGGTTTCTGGTGTTCCCAGATCCACCTTGACTCAGTGTGGTAGCATCCGTCAGGATCCCAGCTATGGACAAATAGTTAACCCCCCCACAAAAGGGGCCAAAATGCTATGAATGTATAAAAATAGGTTTTAATAACCAACAATACTTGAAAAACAAATTATTACCAGAAATAAAAATTTTGTTGGCATTAAATGACCCATTGAGGTGTTGATATGACATTAAATAAACCAAATCAACAATGTAAATAGTTACAATACCTCCCCCTCAGGAACATAGACAGATTTTAATATTTGTTACTGTTTACAGTATTTTCAACTTTTTCAACCAGAGACGCGCTTCCCCCAGCTTTTGTTTCAATTCCTTCCCCAGTGACACCCATTTAAAATATCATTGAACCTTAAAACTCGCACTGATGTTGTAAATTAAAATGTTAATTAAAACGTATGAAAAGTTAAGAAATTTGATTCAGGTTCAAAATTTTCCCTCAGATTTTAACAGAGATAAATTAGGTGGGCCTGGTATTGTTGTACAAGTTGTTCACACACCCATCCCCATTCAACCCCTTGACTATTATCAACCCCCTGGAACTCGTCACCAAACCCTAGGCAATTTCTCAGACCCTGTTTGATGATCCTTGCATTAGGTGGACATTTGTATAAAAAAATAAAAAAAAAGCTATTAATTCTTTTTCTGTTTCTTAAATTCTTTCTGGTTATCTTTTAGGCATGCATGTCTAAGCATCAAAATTCTTTGGAATGCATAGTTCCTGCTGTTGACTTTGGCGATGAACCGATCTCTGTGACAAGCCCCAAAGAGGTTCAGTATGGATTCATCATGGATGGAGTGAGTCAACTGAAGAACCTGTCTGACAGTCCACAGTTTCGTCCATTACTCTACTTCCCTGATCCTATTGTGCGACCGTTTTCTGAAGAGAAAAACACAAAAAAATATGTGAAAGGAGATAGGTTGGTTATTGAGGTAAGAAAGACATTTTTTTTTTCTTTTCTCCACCAGGTGGTGCCACTAAACAAAAACAACCAAATAAAATAAAATCACTCGAACACAAAAAATTAAAAAAAGAAGCACAAATTCTAATAAAGGGGAGATAACCAAGAATATACAGTGCAACAAGGATATAAGAGAGTTGTCGGGACCGGAGAAGAAGTCTCTTATATACGGATTTCTCTTATATCCGGGTTTGGTCTATTTTGTTTATTGGAATGGTTGACAAAACATTGCCTAATTGTCATTTGATTTGAACTTTATAAAATGGTAAATAATAAGGATTCCCTTAAAGTTGGTTCACATATTTTAATAATTTAGTAAATGTTTATAAATTTATTAATAAAAAATCATTTTTACATTTATTTCTTTATAAATTGGTAAATGAAAAATACTGCATTGCATTTAGTTTTAATTGGATTAGTTTTTAGAATGTTAAAATATATAAAATTATTCTTGTAAATCTAATAAATAATGTTTAATATTTTTGTTGTAAATTCTGAAGAACAAAGAAAATTTATAAATTCACTTTCTTCATATTGTCTCTCTGATTTAATAATTTGGTAAATATTTATAAATAAAAAATTGCTTTCATATTTATTTCTTTATAAATTGGTAAATGATAAATATTGTATCGCATTAGTTTTAATTTTATTAGTTTTTAGAATGTAAATATAAAATTATTCTTGTAATTAAAAAATCTAATAAATAAATAATTTAATATTTTTGTTGTCAATTCTCAATAACAAAAAAAAAATGTATAAATTCACTTTCATCATATGTTTAGGTTTTATTCCAATTCTAATCATCGCTTTTTAAAACAATAAACATTGCCAAAGAGTGAAGGGAGATGAATTATACATGTATAAATTCACTTTCATCATATGTTTAGGTTTTATTCCAATTCTAATAATCGCTTTTTAAAACAATAAACATTGCCGAAGAGTGAAGGTAGATGAATTATACATGTATAAATTCACTTTCATCATATGTTTAGGTTTTATTCCAATTCTAATCATCGCTTTTTAAAACAATAAACATTGCCGAAGAGTGAAGGTAGATGAATTATACATGTATATATTCATTTTCATCATATGTTTAGGTTTTATCAAAATTCTTATCAATCATGTAATGCTTGCACGGATTTTTAAGTGTTGAAATTAAATCAAAATCAGGTTGTGACACAAGGTCAGTTTTTAACGTGGAGACCCCAGTATTTTCACTCGGGGTTCTGGTCGAAGCTGGTCTTAGCTGGTCATAGCTGGTCTTGGCTTGACATAGCTGGTCAAAAACATTTGGTAAGTAATCTATGAATGAAGGTGTTGCTGTGATGATTGCTAACAAAAAACTGGTGCCAACATAGACTACATAGCTGGGCTGGGGAGACCACAACCCAGCGCAGATGAGGGTCACATACAACAGCTGCACATCACCTCGGAACTTTCCCAGTGTTTTTTGAAATTTTCCAGTTGTGGCAAACAATGACAATGCCAGAAAAACTTTGAGATTTTGGAATTTTAGATAAAGGATATTCAACCTATACTATGATTATTATTTTCCCAGATTCCTTCACTAAAAGGATACTGAACCTGTATAAGAAAAACATCTACAATGCCTTTTCCAGAACAAACACTCCATATCTTTTACTGAAGTGTTACTCCTTTTAAAAAGTGAAATATACCAAGATTATATATCAGATTCTGTTCTTTCATTCTTACTAACAATTGCTATCTTCTTCAGGGTCAGTTCCGCAGTATCAACCAATTGATGACTGACGTCTATATTCATGTTGGTAGCAGTTTGTGCACTGACCCCATGCCTCACGACACTGCTTTGATGTGCACCCCACCTACTTCACCCAGTGGGATTGATAAGGAAGGGAATGCCCCAGTAATGGTAAGTAATTCAATTCTATTTAAACTATTTACATTGGGACTATTATCCTAATCTTAATGTTGTCAGCATATGCTTCTTTCTTTAATAGGATTTTTTGGTCTAGGCCGGTTGATATTAATTTCACTGTCATTGAAAATAAAAAAAAAACAATTATGTCAATTCAAACACATATACCTACTAAAAATAATTATAGTTTTTAAGGCAACCTTTATTTATGGGTTAAAGTGCTCAATATTAAAAATAGAGCATATGTAAATATAAAAGTAGACATTGAAGTCAGCACCCAGCAGTGATTGTCTCTGTTTCATGCTTAAACACAACCACCAAACTGTGCATGTTCTGTTAAAGAAATAAAGAGGAGGGTGTAAATGACAGGGGCCAAAAGTTTGAACATTTGTGGGATTGATATGTTTATTATTGATACATTTGTATAATCAATACACTCAATATGTTTATTATTAATAATTTTGTATAATCAATACAATGAATATGTTTATTATTGATACATTTGTATAATCAATACAATAAGTTTTGCTCACATGCTTTATTTTTCATTACCATATACCTACTTTTGTACTCCTTTATACAAAGACAAACTCAAAGACAATCTAAAGCAAGGCATCATCCCCTTTTCTTCCTGGGGAAAACAAAGTGTCAGAACAAAGGAGATGGCATCTGTCCTGATCCTCAAACACTTGAACAAAATGGCTCAAACATATGTTTCATCTGTCTCAAAGTTTGTAAAACAGCCGCTGGACTTGGAAGACACACGTGTGTCCGTAAAAGTTGAGCATCTCTTTGTGTTGCGAATAGCGTTTCTTTCCTATAATTCAGAATAATAGATTGTAGTCCCAAAAAGATGACAGGAATATTAATCGAAATTAAAATATTTCTATGAACCTTGCAAAAGATATTAGCCTAAATTAATTTTGTGAGCAGCACCAAAGACGATGAAGAATTTTAGCTTTTTTATTCTTTAATTACAGTCACGGCTGGCTGCTCATATTTGAGTATGCTTGTCTGCTAAGGCTGCAAAAGTAGGTGTACAGTAAGTATTAGTATTACCAATAACATAATAGTACTTGTAGGGTTCATTTAATACATTTTTAATATTTTTATTATAATAATTTATTTCATTATTCTTTTATTACCGTATACCTACTTTTGCACATCCCCCATACACACGTAAAATCATTTAGACACCATTTAATATCTTCCTATTTACATTTTATGGACTATTGTCCTCATCTTGGTTGCCATATTTATTACAACGTTTCAGCCATTGTATGCCCCGGCCTTCTTCAGGTGGTTGGAATGTCGAACTGAACCCTTTGTTTTGCTCACTGGGGTAGACTGTTCTAGTTCCATGTGCCATGTCTAATGAATGTCAGTTATCAGTTATTTCTGGTTAATTTTTTTTTTGGTGGGGGGGGGTTCTTTTTACCCTCCACACACCCACTTTTTTTTTTTTTATGAGAAATTAATTTTGGGAAACTCCATGGAGAATTGAAATTATCAATTTTATTTATAAACCAGCATCCCCAGTTACTGGAAAGTTATATGATGGACCCACCCACTTTTGATTTTATATTTTTTTTATGAAATTATCATTTTGTTGCTATAAAATCAAACATTTTTGTTGTACCTTCTTCAGGTTTGGAATGTTGAATTCAGTTAAGATGGTCGGTGTGAGAATGGCACCACTGTGATAAATATGGCAACAAAGATTAGACAATAGTCCCCAATAATGTAAATAGTGTACATAATACCTCATCTCAGAAATATAGACAGATACTAAAGGTCAAACGTTGTGATAAATATGGCAACAAAGATGAGGACAATAGTCCGAATAATGTAAATAGTGTACATAATACCTCATCTCAGAAATATAGACAGATACTGAAAGGTGTTTCTGGCAACAAAGATGAGGACAATAGTCCCGAATAATTCTCAGAAATATAGACAGATATTGAAAGGTATAAATATGGAACAAAGATGAGGACAATAGTCCAAATAATGTAAATAATGTACATAATACCTCATCTCAGAAATATAGACAGATACTGAAAGGCTGAAATGTTGTCCTAACAAAGATGAGGACAGTAGTCCAAATAATGTAAATAGTGTACATAATACCTCATCTCAGAAATATAGATCAGGCAAACGTTGTGATAAATATGGTAAAAAGATGAGGACAATAGTCCAATAATGTAAATAGTGTACATAATACCTCATCTCAGAAATATAGACAGATACTGAAAAGTCAAAAACGCTTAGATAAATATGGCAACAAAGATGAGGACAATAGTCCCAATAATGTAAATAGTGTACATAATACCTCATCTCAGAAATATAGACAGATACTGAAAGGCCAAAATGTTGGGATAAATATGGCAACAAAGATGAGGACAATAGTCCGAATAATGTAAATAGTGTACATAATACCGCCTCATATAGACAGATACTGAAAGGCTGAAATGTTGTGATAAATATGGTAACAAAGATGAGGACAATAGTCCAAATAATGTTAGTGTACATAATACCTCATCTCAGAAATATAGACAGATAGAAAATAAACGTTATGATAAATATGGCAAAAAGATGAGGACAATAGTCCGAATAATGTAAATAGTGTACATAATACCTCATATAGACAGATACTGAAAGGCCAAAATGTTGTGATAAAATAGTCCTAATAATGTAAATAGTGTAAGTCTCAGAAATATAGACAGATACTGAAAAAAATGTTGTGATAATATGGCAAACAAAGATGAGGACAATAGTCCCGAATAATGTAAATAGTGTACATAATACCGTCTCAGAAATATAGACAGATACTGAAAGGCTGAAATGTTGTGATAAATATGGTAACAAAGATGAGGACAAAGTCCAAATAATGAAATAGTGACATAATACCATTCAGAAATATAGACAGATACTGAAAGGCCAAATGTTGTGATAAATATGGCAACAATGGTGAGGACAATAGTCCTAATAATGTGTGAATAGTGTACATAATAATTCATCTCAGAAATATAGACAGATACTGAAAGGCCAAAATGTTGTGATAAATATGGCAACAAAGAAGTGTATAATAATTGCCTCAGAAATATAGACAGATACTGAAAGGCTGAAATGTTGCCAAAGATGAGGACAATAGTCCAAATAATGTAAATAGTGTACATAATACCTCATCTCAGAAATATAGACAGATACTGAAAGACAGATAAATATGGCAACAATGGTGAGGACAATAGTCCCAAGGCCTCAAAATATAGACAGATAAAAAGGCTTAAATGTTGTGATAAATATGGAAACAAAGATGAGGACAATAGTCCAAATAATGTAAATAATGTACATAATACCTCATCTCAGAAATATAGATGATACTGAAAGGCTGAAACGTTAGGATAAATATGCTAACAAAAGATGAGGACAGTAGTCCAAATAATGTAAATAGTGTACATAATACCTCATCTCAGAAATATAGACAGATACTGAAAGGCTGAAATAAATATGGCAAAAAGATGAACAATAGTCCCAATAATGGTGTACATAATACCTCATCTCAAAATATAGACAGATACTGAAAAGGAAACAAAATAGTCCAAATAATGTAAATAATGTAAATAGTGTACATAATATAGACAGATACTGAAAGGCCAAATGTTGTGAAAATATGGCAACAAAGATGAGGACAATAGTCCCAATAATGTAAATAGTGTACATATATGATCTCAGAAATATAGACAGATACTGAAAGGCCGTAAATGTTGTGATAAATATGGCAACAAAGATGAGGACAATAGAATAATGTAAATAGTGTACATAATACCCTCATCTCAGAAATATAGACAGATACTGAAATAAATATAAATAGTGTAATAGTCCTAATAATGTAAATAGTGTACATAATACCTCATCTCAGAAATATAGACAGATACTAAAAGGCCGATGGAAACAAAGATGAGGACAATAGTCCAAATAATGTAAATAATGTATCATCTCAGAAATATAGACAGATACTGAAAGGCCGAAACGCTGTGAAAATATGGCAACAAAGGTGAGGACAATAGTCTGAATAATGTAAATAGTTTACATAATACCTCATCTCAGAAATATAAACAGGTACTAATATATTCCTATATCTTGACCAATGATTTTTTAACATTTTTATTTTTAGCTGAGCATTGGAAAGTACCAATGTGACATTGGTTACCTGAGTTATTATGAAATGCAAGAAGGTGAACGCCCAATTGCTTTGGGTATTATTTTGGGTGTGGCCCTACCCATGCTGACCATCATCATCCTCCTGACCGTGTGTGTTGTTCGGCGCCATATGAAACATGCTCCCAGTGATAATTACATTCCCGACGTCCTCAAAGACTATGAGGGTAAAAAAGAAGAAGAAGCAATTGGTATGAATCACATGCCATCGGAGACTATTGGTAAGTACAAACAGGTAGGAAATTAAAGTGACAGTCATACCTATAATCAGAAGAGCACTGTGAGAATTTATTGTGAATGTTTTAAAGAAAACTTGATGATAAATAGGTATTCACAGCATCAATATATTTTAAGTATATCGGTAATTTAAATAATTTCTTTTATATTTAAAACCATAAACTGTTAAATTTATGACGGTGGGGTACAGTAATCTTTGCTTTGTACCGGGAGCCACTCCAGGTAGAGGGTTACATTAAGGGGTAGTTTATATGAATAGGAGGGGAAGATAATGGTTAACGCTAGACTTTAACAGTTTAAGAGTGTAAGATTGGGAGTCTGTTCGACAGAGCAGTGGTTTGAAGGAAGAAGCTGTTTGAGTGGAACTTACTTCTGATCGATGGAATGTGGAGAGAATGTGGGTGGTTTGCTACTATTTAAGTGACATGGTGGGTCCTGGCCATGAAGAAAACAAGTACTGTAATTTGTCCAAGCACTTTCCATGGTAATAGTGATAGAGGAGTGAGAGACTCATTACATCAAACCTATGAGAGAGAGGTTGGAGAGTGGAAAATAATTCTTCTCCCACAAGGATTCTGAGATGCTTTTGAACTCTATCATGACTGGAAAGTGAGGTCTGGATAGTTCCCACCCAAATATGGCAACAGTACTCCATTTTCAGCCTGATCTGGCTCTTAGAAAGGTAGAGGATAGCATGAGGAGTTAGGTACTTACTAGAGTGATATAGGGAGCTGATCTAAACTTTTCCTCCTGTGTACCCTTTTGACCTTCCAGACCTTTGAGGAGAATATTATTATGGCAAAAAGGGAGTTGTTGTAAAGTTACTAGGACACAGTTTTAGGAATTTGTTAAAAAGTTGTAAAAATTTGTTAAAGATTTGTTAAAAATTTTAAATTTGATAAAATTGTTAAAAATTTGGAAAGAGATCAAAGGTCAATAAAAAAAATTACAATTTTATTAGTAGTATTAGTTGTAGCAAGCTGCAAAATTCTGTATGTGTCAACAAACAATATTATCACTAGTCTGGCATATATATATATCTCAAATATGTGGTGCAGTTCAATTTATATTACATCAATCATTCATACAAAAAGTAGATTAATAAAGTTAATGATATAAAATGATGAAAACTCTTTGCAAACAAAATTTTAAAGTTGCATTAACCTACGAACCGCTCGATGAATGTTATGATCCTTGTTTTTAATAACTACAAGTTGTATCAGGTCTTTTTTTAATCTGCTAGTACTTTCAACTGTACACACAGTCATCCTCAGGCATGGAAATTATTTTGTTTTTAGTAAATCCAGGTAGTAGCAGAGACGAAAGATTAAATGCGAATCAAAATGTTTTTTAGAAATGTGTTATTGTTAATGGATAAAAACAGTGTAATAGCATATATATATATATATATATATATATATATATATATATATGAAGAAAAATATATGGAAAAAACAAACAAAAATCTTAATACGCAATTATGCTGTTTTGATGTTAATATAATGTCAACGTCGGACGTTTCAGTCTAGTAGACCATCTTCAGGACATATTCATACTGTCGGATCTATATCCATATATTTGCTTATATATATAATAATCGACTCTCCCGTCGAGATTCGACGTATGAGGGTCAAGCAGATCAGTTTCCAAGAAACTGACAGCCCAACACTGGCACATGAGATTTGATTATAGTGGTGAAGGCTTTGTGCAGGACCATCCACATTTTTGAAGGATGAATACAGAGACCTGGTGCACCGAAAAACAAGGTTCCCAAACGACCCTCCGCAGGTTTTGAATTCAGAGTTGTCCTTCTCCTAGACCAGTTGCCATCCAAGGCTATAGAACCCAGTCTGTCCTGCTATTTTACCCATAGCTGGAGGGAGAGGAAGAGGATTCATACCTTTCCCAAGGGTATTAGCACGTAAGTGAATGTAATGGATTTGACTGGAATTCGAACTCGGCTCTGCGATTCCTCAATCCAAGCCGCTATCCATTACTCCACCGTGCCTCTATTACACTGGCCCTGATGGTATAACTTACAAACAGAATAATCATGTAACACTAAAGGGAATCTTTTTTTCTTTTCTTTCAACAGATTCAACACAATACATCTCGGAATTGGTCAGTGGTGTGACCGATGAACAAGAACGACAACAAATTAGTCAGTTACTAATCACGCGGAGTAAACTGGATGTTGGCGAACTTGTCGGGAAAGGTATGTAATTCAAGTTGATCTCTGCATTCAAATTCGCCATATTTGATATCATCAAATGCCAAATTTCACGCACAAAAAAATATGACTTAAAAAATATATGCTGCACTTTATATGCCAAATTGACATATCGCGTAAGCTAATGTTTACTTTTTTGTTGTCAGTATTTAGATAAAGCAGAAAACAATATTGTAAACTTTTTGGTAACAATAACACCGGAACCTACTCTCTTGTGAGGATTGAGGCAGGGAATCTATTTCATATCTGCGACTCACAGATTCCAACGCTGCAATTTGCCACACTAGACATCTTTCTTCTCTACTGCCATGAGGAGACACTTCTAGAAGGATGCCATAGGAGTAAGAATGAGACAATTTCAGCATTAAGAAGCCCATAGGTGTTGATGTGCTGCTAAACAAAATCAATCAACCAACAATACTTATTAATAGTAAAATTAGCAACAATACATTTTATCTTTGGTTGAAGGCATACAATTGTGTTCAAAATATACTTACTTGAAGCCATAATATTACGTTAGAAATATTTAGATTTTGGCATTCATCAGCATCAGCTTTTTAACCTCCATAATGTTGGTCGGAACTCCATTGACAATTCCTTTCCACACTATTCAGTCTTGTATTGCTATCTCCAAATCCTCAATATCCAACCCTGAGTCTTGAGCTATGGTGTCTGGAAAACTCAACTTTTGTGAGAAGACACTTCCCGAAGGATGCCATAGGAGTAAGGATGAGATGATTTCCCTGTCCGCTCGGTGGCAGTGGTTGGCAAATTAATATCTCTTACTTTCTCTCTCATTTATTGCTTTATCCCACTCTCTCTCCCTCTCTCTCTCTCTCGCTTTTATTGCTTCATATCTCTTCTTCATTATCATCATCATCATCCTTCAACCTCCCTATGGTTGGTCTGAACTCCATTGACAATCGCTTTCCAAACTGTTCAGTCCTGCATTGGTGTCCCCCAGATCCTCAATGTCCAACCCTAAGTCCCAAGCTATGGTATCTGGGAAAGTTAAATTTCATGAGAAGACACATCCAAAAGGATGCCATAGGAGTAAGGATGAGACAATTTTCCTCTCCACTCAGTGGTAGTGGCCGACAAACTGTAATCATTTTTGCTTAGCTTAAGGGAAATTGGTCTCAGTTTTCCGTTAAGTGTTGCTTGGAATCTGCAAATGATGTTCTGGATTTTTCTAACGAGATTTATATATATGTGACACTATAAGTAATGCTTGTTGTACATGTAATAGTTTTTTTCACAACCTTTTGATCTCAACCTGCTACCTTGATGATTTCTTGTCTGATTCTGTACATTTTATTATTTCAGGTAATTTTGGAGTCACCTACAAAGCACAATACGTCAAAGTTGACAGTGAACCACCATTGACAGTGGCTGTCAAATCACTGCAAGGTAAATAGTAGTTGATTCTACTGCAGATTTTATTCAGCTTCTTCTCTACTTTGTTCCCCCATCCCTTCATGATATGGACGGTCATGGCTCTCTACAGCTTCCTATCTTGGCTTCAAGTTATTAATTCCCTTGTGAATGATTCCTTAATTGTTGCTACTTTGTTCTTCATTGCAAAAAAGACAGACGCAATCATAAGTGATAATAAAAACATGTAATAATATTATTATACACTGATTTTCTTGGATTGGTATCCTCATCTTGGTTGTTGCTCCTTCAAAAAACCCACCCCACAAAAGTGGGTAACTTCAAAACTGATATTTGCAGACTCTGGTGTAAATTCAACCTTGGTCTGTGTTTTTGACTTTAGTATAAACTAAATATATATGATCAGGTCAAATAAGGATGAGATGGTTTTGACATTAAGTACCTCATAGGTGTTGATGTGTCACTAAACAACCAACAATACTTATTTATAGTAAAATGACCAACAATACATTTGCTGTATCCTTAAAGAAGATTACAAACAGACAAAGATGGTACCCAAGTGAAAGGAACAGCAACACAGGTGTAGATGAAAGAAAGGGAGGTTTATTGTAAAAGAGAATACACTACTGACAAACAGGGAATTGATTAGGAAGCTCGTAATTCCCGAAGCAAGAATAAAAAAAATTCTCCATACATGGGGTCTGGTAGCTGTCTACCACCCCAGACGAGACTCTTCCCTTTGACATAGCCTCATCTGGGTTCCACTCTGCCTATAGGCAGAGAGTTTGACCAGCACAGCTGGAGATGAATCTCCAACTAATTGACAAAGTTAGGATATTTACCAACTGTCTCACGCGGTCAGATGTGGCACAAGGCTAAATTTAACATGGGGTATCCAAGCCTGTATGCTCAAGCAAAAATTCCCTGTAAACCCCATAAAAAATGGGGTAGGGTAGCTGTCTACCACCTCAGATGAGACTCTGCCCTTTGACATAGCCCGAAGGCAGAGAGTTCGACTAGCTTAGCTGGAGACGAATCTCCAACTATCTTCCAAAGCAAGTCCGCCAGGTATATCCTGTGCTCACTATATATATATATATATATATATATATCTACTGATATAGACAGTCCACATTGGTGATAGGGAGTGTGGGACATTCCATTACAACACCTTCCCCCTGAACTAATTTTCCCATGAAATTTTGCTCAATATCTCTTCTTTTTGGGGGGGTCAGGACAAAACTGTTTCACTTTTTTTCCTCTTCCTAGTACTTTTCCGCCTCACCAGCACAAAAACATTTTATCTGTAGTTGAAGGCATTCAAAATTGGTATTTGCAGACTCTGGCATAAATTCAACCTTGGTCTGTATTTTCGACTTTAGTATAAACTAAATATACATCATCTGCTTGAGAAATCTCGGATTCTCCTGACACGTTCCTTCCAACCATCTCTGTCAGGCATTGCTGTCAGCAGGTCCTCCAGATGGCATCCAGAGTGATCTACAAATTGGTCAATGTAGGTGTGATGAGGTCTTCTAACTGATCTTTTACCATTCAATGGTTTACATAGGAGGGTGTCACTCACAAGTTCTGAATTACTTCTCTAGGAGTGACCAGCGAGCTGAAGCCTTCTCTCTGTCAGCAAAACTGAGATAGAAGGAAGATGTCCATACAGGCATTTCTTTGTTGGGTGTTTCTTGTAGCTGATGTCCATTTGTATATGTGTATGTTCCATCATGTGATGCTTCTTGGTGTTTCATCAGTGTCCATGTTGTTGAGCCGTATAGCACGACAGATTCTACTGTGGCCTTAAAGAAGACCTTCTTAAGATTGTCAGAGAGGGAAGAATCCAGATGGTGCTCAGACCATCAAGGACACCCCAGGCCTTTCTTGTGCAGATTTTATTTTCTAAAATAGTGCCGCACATCAATGTCATTAGCCATTGAAAAACTCAAATGACAGTTCCTAAAAAATTTAAATATACAGCATGCACTCAAAGTAACACCCTTTTTTACTTATTAACTGTTACTGAACATAAATTAATTACAGTACTATAAGGAAATTTATAAGTATAGTCACATCAAAACCACATGATTTGTTAATCGTAACAAACTATTTACTATGTTCAAAATGCTCCCCTCCATGTTCAATACAACATTGAACCCTTCAGCAATGCTTTTACAAATTATTTGACATATTTCTGCATTAAGAAAATTTATCAGAAATTGCTTGTTGTAATTCAGGAATCATTTTCAATTTGAGCCTGTAAACAAGATCTTTCAGTACACCCCCACAAGAAAAAGTCTTCCGAGAAATATTTCCATTTCACCATTATATTTCTCAAATTACCTCCTCCTAATTTACTAATTTTGGAAACCACTACTTGGGGGCGCTCTCCAACACTACATATACTCAGCGATATCTTTTCTCACTGTCTTTTTCTCCTTACTTTTCAGCTGACAACATGTAAATCTCTTGCAGAAGATTGTGTTTTTTTTCTTCAGGAAATGTCATGAACACTACACATACACACATACGTGCATACGAACATTCACTCACTACACATACTTTGGACCAAAAAGTTTCCACCTTAATTTGTTACACACATTATTTTTTTTTGTCATTTGTAACCATTTGTTGTTTTAATACATATTAATTTGTTTGTATATATATATATATATATATATATATATATATATATATATAAGCAAATATATGGATATAGATCAACATTATGAAGAAAATACACTGAAAAACAAACAAAAATCCTAATATCGATTATGCTGTTTTTAATATTTAATGTCAACGTCGGATGTTTAAATACAATAGACCATCTTCAGGACATATTCATAAAACATGGTCTAATGTTAATTATGTTTTATGAATATGTCCTGAAGATGGTCTATTAGACCGAAACGTCCGACGTTGACATTAAACATTAAAATAGCATAATCGCATATTAGGATTTTGTTTGTTTTTTCAGTATATTTTTTCATATATATATCAGTCCTCGTTGCTTCTTCACTTTTCTTTTGGTGGACTCGTACTCTGAATCCGCCATGTTTGTTGTGGGCCATTTCAGGAGATGCACGTGTTTATCTCACAGCATGTACAATTGACCCGCAACATATTAAACACAAAAATTTTTAACATGAAAAGATATTGAGCAAAAAGTGATTTACATAATACCAGCAGTAATCAATGAATCACAGATACCATTAAATGTCTAAAGCATATGAAGGCAATGGTTTAACTAAATGCTTCATTGGCTTCTATTTTAGTTATGAATTCTTTCTCTATGATTTATCTGCAAAACCTTAATAGATTGTCTCAAGATTTTTCTTTCATTGCATTTCACTATTAAAACTTTCTAACAATTGCCATCATTTTTGACGGCTCGGGTACACTAGTATATATCATTGTTGTCAACTTCTCATATCCAAGAATTTAATTTCTTCTGATCATTTCCTTTATGATGGCAGCATTGATGACTAAGTAACCAATTCTTGCATGGAACCACTGATGGCATTGACTGCATTCTAATGTTGCTGTTCGGAGTTAGTAAATTTAGGAGTGGTTACTTCCCTTAATTATTTTAATAATCTATACAAATAAAATATTTATCTGGTTATTGGATGTGATAAGGTGATTTGATTTATGGTCCCCACTTAGAGATCCTAACATTTTTCATATGTACAGTTTTGTCTTTCATTCTAACCAGGAGTCAAATGCAGCAGACATTCTTTCAGCGAAACATGTCATTTATAGCTTTTACATTTTCTCATTATCATATATCAAACCACGTAATAATCAATGTGTATGTATTTATATATTTCCTGTCCCATCTGTAGTGTGAAGGGAGGTAAATCAACTTGAGTTAGTATATTTAGGAGTGATTACTTCCCTTAGTCATTTTAATAATCTATACAAATAAAATTATCTGCATTTAGACAAAATGAACTGTTTCATTAATCAGTTCCTTTATACCTACATTTCTTAGATTGCAGTCTTATTTGTTCAAGCCTTTCATGTGAGGCACTCAAATATCCTTATTAAGTGATCATCTTGCTTCAACATTGTTTTGAAATAGGCTTTGTTCTCACTGTGTGTCATTCTGTTGCTAAACTTTTTCATACAGGAGACATTTCCATTTCACTGTTATATTAAACACAAAATTTTTAATATGAAAAGATATTAAGAAAAAATCAATTTCTTTAATACTCAGAGTAATCAATGAATTGGGTGTCATTGACCATCATTAAACAGGTCATTGGCCTCAATTTTAGTTGTGAATTCTTTATTTCCAATTTATTGAATCTCAAAAGATTGTTTCAAAGCTTTTATTTCATTGCATCTCACTAAAACTTTCTAACAATTGCCATCATTTTGATGGCACCGGTACACTAATTATTAAATATTAATATAATAATTAAAAATTTATTTAAAAACTAATATATGAAAAACTAATAATAGTAAGGATTTAACAAAATATAAGTTTCATATATTTCATCATTTTTAATGGGTAATCTAATTTATGTATTAAATGCAAAAAATATCTAAAATAAAAAATGCTAAAAAGTGGAGATGATAAAATATTAATCTATATCAAAATCAACATTTTTGTGTAAATATATCTTTCCATTTCATAATGATTTTTGGTTGTTTTTTTTCACACTTATGGTAAGAGACTGTCATAATTAACCATTTGAAATTGAAGGGGAAATTGAGAATTGTCTCCAATTTTGAAATAAAGATTTACAGAAATATTTATACAGTATAGCCTCTTCATTTACAAAGTTGATTATTTTGTTGCTACCGAACACCTCCCTTTCAATTAATTATTGAAATTATTTTTGTTTTATTGTTTAGGTACAAATACTGACAAAAAAGCTTTGCTGAAATATCTGAAGAATGGCCTGGTGCTCAAAGAGCTTCAACATAATCATATCATTCCGATTCTGGCTGTGTGTCTATCGGTTAGTGATGATCCAGTCGTGGTTGTCCCATACATGGACACCCCTGACCTCCGGACACACATCAGAGATTCATCAAAAGTAAGTTGTGCAACCATTTTTTTTTTTTTTTGTCTTGATTTAATTTTTTTTTTTTGCTTCTCTGAGTATGACTTCAGCTTGCGTCTCCATGTCTTTGGAAGCCTAATTTTCTGATGCAGGTGCTTTTGGCTGCAATTCTCAAACCATTATAGTAGGTTAGGAAACTATCAGCTATGGATGAGTTGTTTATCTTACGACAACATCCGTTCTCATGGTCCAGTGGATAAAGATGTTGGTTAGATCCAATGACTAGACACAAAAAGAGTTGTGAGTTCAATACCAGGCCACAGCAGTGGTGAACCAAAACTTGGCAAGTTGAGTTAAAGGGAAATAACTGAGACATCTGAAAGAAGCATGGTACGTGGAACTAGAACAGTCTACCCCGGTGAATGAAATAAAGTGTTCGGTTCGAAATGCCAATCACATGAAGAAGGCTGGCGTGTACACAGGCTGAAATGTTGTGAATATGGCAATGAAGATGAGGATAAGTTAGAATAATGTAAATAATGCAAGTAATCATAATACCTCATTTCAGTGATCTAATCAGCTGAAGAAGGCCAGAGCATACAAGGGCTGAAATGTTGTGAATATGGCAATGAAGATGAGATAACAGTGTGAATAATGTAAATAATACAAGTAATCATAATACCTCATATCAGAGATCCAATCACCTGGAGAAGGCCGGAGCGTATAACTGCCAAAATATTGTGAATATGGCAATGAAGATGAGGATAACAATCCAAATAATGTAAATAATGCAAGTAATCAAAATACCTCATCTCGGAGATATAGACAGTCAAAATTTAACCATTTTTTTTTGTTAATATTTATAAAATCTGCAACTGCTTTTGGCTTCTTTCCATTCATTATTGTTTATCTTCTTCTTGAGAAACAAGACGATAAAGAAATAAACCTGATCTCTACTGAATTTATCTTCAAAATTAGATCTGACTTTGCATCTTTGGGGACACATTTAGTTCAGCAGCCATAACTAATTCTTTGCAAATGTGATTTCCCTAGAACTGAAATGGTAGGAAGCTCACCTAATATTGTACTCATTAATCTAAGTATATTTTCCAAACCATATAAGCAAAAATACTTTTAATGTAAACTTACAATTTATAATATTCCTTTATAGTCATTGGCAGTCAGTACATTGCTGGACTATGGTCAACAAATCGCTGACGGTATGGCTTACCTGGCAGAGTTAAAAGTCATTCATCATAATCTGGCTGCAAGGAACTGTCTGTAAGTATATCATTGTTATTGTTTCACCCCAAGCAAGGCTATAAAGCCACTAAGTTGCAAGGGGTTAATGAGTGTGAAAAGATCTAAAAAAAAAACAAGCAACATAAAATGAAAATTATCAGAATTTTCTTTTCTTCCCCATATTTAATTTTGGATGAAACTTGAATAAAAGCAAAATGTCAGATTTATAAACAGTTCCTATTTGTTGTTTCTCCTATGATTCTGTTAGATTCAAATACATATTTGATATATATATATATATATATATATATATATATATATATATATATATATATATAAACTAGAAAGGTTTTTGTGAAGCATTTCATTCCTTAGGAATGCATCAGGCTAGGCTGGGCTTTGATGATGTTGCCATGCCTATACATGCACACGAAATGAGTGATGCTGATAGTTTCAAAATGTTTTGAAAGAGGTTTTTTTTTTTTTTTGCAAAGCCCAGTCTGATGAAATCATAACGGATGACGTGCATCACAAAAAACTTTTCCAGTTTGTCATATTTTTCTATAATACTGTTTGTTGACCTATAAAATTATACAAAATTAAATATCATTATATCAAATTTTTATATATGTGTATGTAGATTACTAAAGGTATCTTAATTTGAATTGTAAAGAGTATATATATATATATATATATATATATATATATATATATATATTTTGTGTGTGTGTGTATGTATATGTTTTTGTGTGTGTGTGTATGCATATGTTTTTGTGTGTGTATGCATATGTTTTTGTGTGTGTATGCATATGTTTTTTTTGTGTGTGTGTGTATGCATATTTTTTTTGTGTGTGTGTATGCATATGTTTTTTTTGTGTGTGTGTATGCATATGTTTTTTGTGTGTGTATGCATATGTTTTTTGTGTGTGTGTGTATGCATATGTTTTTTTGTGTGTGTGTGCATATATTTTTTTGTGTGTGTGTGTTTTTTGTGTGTGTGTTTTGTATATGTTTTTTTTGTGTGTGTGTATGCATATGTTTTTTTGTGTGTGTGTATGCATATGTTTTTTGTGTGTGTGTGTGTGCATATTTTTTGTGTGTGTGTATGCATGTTTTTTGTGTGTGTGTGTATGCATATGTTTTTTGTGTGTGTGCATATCTTTTTTTTGTGTGTGTATGCATATGTTGTGTGTGTGCGTGTATGCATATGTTTTTGTGTGTGTGTATGCATATGTTTTTTGTGTATGTGTATGCATATGTTTTGTGTGTGTGTGCATATGTGTTTGTGTTGTATATGTGTATATATATATATATATATATATATATATATATATATATATATATATATGTATATATATATATATATATATATATGTGTGTGTGTGTATATATAACAAATTTATACAAAGGCTGTTGTTTGCACAGCAGGGTTGCTTCCAACAAAGCCTTCATCAAATGATGATTGGGCTCAGGCATGTTTTTAGGGCCAAAGCATCATTACCACGAGCCCAGAGGACCCCATCAGTACCTCACAATCCCACCAGGCTTTGTTAGATTGGCATCACTTTGGGGGGCTGGCACAGCCATGCTGATGCAATCAGGGCCATATTCTGGATCTTTTTTTATATATTTCCTCTTATCTATTGGTGTAAGTCCAAGATTAGTCAGGTATGTGGAACCTGAGTTCACAGTTAAACCTTGGCATCTGACCTTGATAGGAAATATATATATAATATGAATGAATATAAAGAAAAACTTTGTCTGAATTTATGAGGCAAGGATGTATCTTTATTTACATGATTCACATGTGGGCTATTGTCCTCTTCTTTGTTTTTGTTATCACAACATTTCGGCAATTTACCATCCAGCCTTCGTCAGGTGTATGTTGATCAGGGTAACTTACAAAGTATTCCGAAATTAACCCTTTATTTAATTTATTTAAGTGTGCTAAATAACTGCTCATAAAACACTGTAAAGATCACTGGCCCAATTGGAGATGCACCTGGTTATTTCAATGAGCATGAGGATTAAATAAAGGGTTTTTTTCAATTGGAAATTCAGTGCTACTATGTTTTCTACTGTGATCTTTTTTATATTCAAAATTAGTATCAACAAACAAGGAGAAATAGACAAACATGTAAAAATTCTGCTGAATTATCTGAAACTAAAAGAGCATGATGATGTGTGTTTTGCATGCAGGCAGTCATTTGCAATGTAGAAGTTGTACATGTACGAATGTGATCCTTATAATGCCATTGGCTGATAAATATTCAAGAGTTTGGTGTATATTTAAGGATTTATCTGCAGTAGCAGGCAGTCTTTTGCTAGCAGCCATTAGGATAAGACAACATGTGACTACAATCTACAGTGGGGAAAGTGTGTTCCACAATTTACGATGTTAGAATGAGTCACTTCTCTTTCCTCAGTAGTAAACCTGTTTTGAAATTACCTTCAACCCACTTGCAAGAACAACATAATAATTGTTTATTTGCTTTCAGATTATGCGAGGGCAAAACTGTAAAAGTGACCGACATTGGCTTAACACAAGAACTATTCAGCAAAGATTATTATTTCACGGAAGAACACACAGCAAAACTACCGGTCAAGTGGATGGCACCTGAAAGTCTTGAAAACTTTGTCTTTAGTATTCAGAGTGATGTCGTAAGTAAAATATATATTTTTCTTTTGCAAAATCTCAGTTCACCATATATAATCGAGCATAGTACAAGTTTTTATGATCAGTTTTTTGCGCAAAAAATAGTAGGTTCACACTATACAGGGGTAAGCTTTTTGAAGAGGTTAAAAATCACGCTCATCCTGGGTATGATGATAGACTACATCTGGCAGCAAGAACTCTGATCAGGAGATTTTGAGGAGCATTGAACCATCTCTTAATTGCTGTTGTTCCCAGGTCCACCCTGACTTAGGGTGGTAACAGCTTTTAGGGTCCCAGCTACGGACAAATAGTTAGCCCCCAAAGTGGGATCAAAACATGAAAATATAAAAATACATTAGAAAAAATTATCAGCAATGCATTTTTGAAAAGAAAAATTACCAAAGCTCATAAAAAATAAAATTTTGGCATTAAATGACCCATAACGAGTTAATATGCTTTTGAATAAACCAAACTAAAAATGATACATTTTTGGTGACCAGTTGTACTATACACCAATCTTTGTATCCGATATTTTATGGTAAGTAGTTTTTACTCACCATTTTGGGGTAGCTTTGTACAAAAATGAGAATGAAGACCATTTATTTGGTATAAAATATGTCCAGGATGATGCCCGGTATGGTAATATTTAACTACGGTAAGCCTACTGGTATTGCTTGGAAGCTGGGGGTCGCATTATACATGAGCTATATGAAAAAATCAGGTTTTTCTCAAAAACATTCAGTGGTCACACTATACATGAAGCTGGTTTATACATGGGTACATACAATAATCAAACAGAAAGCATAATTTAATTAAATTGTTGTATTGGAATAAACAAACTGTAACGGTGATTTTCCTCAACAACCCAAAAGTATCAGTCGTGTGTATGTTTTGCAAGGGTGTGAGGAAACGGTGAATCGGTGAGCTTCGGATGGACAGTAAATCGGGCAGCGCTTTGTGCTGATGAAAGTAGTGGTGTCACTTGTAGCCATTTTTATTGGCTGGTTCTAGGCACTCATTGGCTGAGCAATGGTTGGGTCAGGTGCATCAAATCATGGTAGACTCATTCAAAGGTAGTTTGCATTTCACTTCTGATAGGGAGTGGTATATTGGAGATCAAGACGAGGAGAGAAGTGTGGATTTGTTTTATCTAATGAACCTATTGGATTTGTACTACCTCACCACCTGCTTTTCCTGTGTGTACATCCAACCAATTTTGGCTCACAGAAAGAGTTGGATGCGTCTAATGGTGATTACGAAAGTGTTTGAAGTTATAACTAGTGATGGTGACATTATGCCTCCATTCATTTTCCCACAGAGAAGATACAAATATTTCAGAGGGTTTGGGTGTCAATCTGAGGACAGTGCAGAGGATTTGGAATGTAGCGGTGACCCAAAAGGGCCAGAGTTGCATGTATATTTTGCAAGGGCATGAGGAGATGGCAAATCGGTGAGCTTCAGACGTATGGTGAATCGGGCAGTGCTTTGTGCTGATGGAAATAGTGTTGTCACTTGTAGCCATTTTTATTGGCTGGTTCTAGGCACTCATTGGCTGAGCGATGGTTGGGTCAGGTGCATGAAATCGTGGTATGCTCATTGAATGGTAGTTCGTTTTTCACTTCTGATGGGGAGTGGCATATTAGAAATCGAGACGCAGAGAGAAGTGTGGATTTGTTTTACCTAGGGAACCTATTGGACTTGCACTAACTTCCCTCCCCTTTCTTTTCCTGTGTGTGCATCCAACCAATTTTAGCACAAGCTATTTCAGCCATTGTCATCACTACGCAAATGAATCTCAGCAACAGATTGACAGACAGAGCAGACGAACAGATAACAACTGGAAGAAGTGTACACTTTTAAATACCTTGGCATTACACTTACCGAAGATGGACACTGTACAAGATAGATCAGGACCAAACTGGTTATGGCAACATTGGCAATCACAAAACTCTGTAAGATTTGGAAGAGCAAAAACATCAGCTTTCCAACGAAGATGAAGCTCTACAAGTCCCTGGTTCTGTCCATATTGCTCTATGGATATAAAAGCTGAACTCTGATAGCAGAAACTATCAACAGAGTTGAAACAGTGCGGCCCTCCTCATAAGTCAGGTGGATGGCTATTATCAGGACCACAGTTGGTATCCGTCAGGGCTGTTTTCATCCCCGAACATCGTTCAATCTCTTTCTTGAGAATATCATGCGAAATAAACTCAGTTCTCTATATCCACAGAAGGGCAAATCATTAACAACTCCTGCTTCACAGATGATATTGACTTGTTGGGCAGCCGCAACTCCAAATTGCAGGGTCTCACCAACAGATTGACAGACAGAGCAGGAGTGTATGGAATGGAAGTGAACACTGAGACAAGTAAGGCCTGGTCATCAGCACAACCACCATATGGCCCAAATCTTCATGAATGGAGAACAACTGGAAGAAGTAGACATGTTTAAATACCTTGGCATTACCCTCACCAAAGATGAATGCTCTACAACAGAGATCAAGACCAGACTGGCTATCACAATATTGGCAATGGCAAAACTCTGTAAGATTTGGAAGAGCAAAAACATCAGCTTTCCAACCAATGAAGCTATACTGGTTCTGTACATAATGCTCTATGGATATAAAAAATGGACTCTGACAGCAGAAACTACAAAGAGCATCCAAACATTTGAAACAAAATTCTTGAGCCACCTTATTGAGGTCTTCTGGAGAGAACACAAGCCAAATGACTTTGTACAGGGGCAAGTAACATAACTGGCAGACCCCCAGGAGCTACTCTTGGCAACAGTAAAGAGGAGAAAGCTATTGTGGCAAGGATATGTCATATGCCACAATACTCTACCCAAGACAATTCTTCAAGTTACCTTGATAGGGGATAGACGTAAGGGGAGGCAGTTCAAAAGCTGGATAGACAACACCAAAGAATGGACTGGCACGGGTATTCTGATGCTGTTTCATGAGGCATAAAATAGATCTGGGTTGGCACCTGGCTGCACCATCGTCACTCATGTTCTCCTTTATGATCAGCTCGGTTGTGAGAAAAGAAGTTGGAACAAAAGTTTGGAGTGTATTTTAAGGGAATTTCAAAGACAATATTTAATTATTTGTCCATAGATTTATTTAGCTAATTATGTGGCATTTTGTTCCAATACCTTTCGCCATCTTTAACCCATCAGCATTAAAACCAACCAAACACACCCAGTAAATATCACCTGTCCATGTTCAACCATCTCGTAAATATTAGCTCTTCATTTTTAATCCATACCATAAATATTGGCTCTCCATGTTCAACCCATTTCGTAAATATTGGTTTTCCATGTTCAACCTGTCCCATAAATATCAGCTCTTCATGTTCAACCCACCACATAAATATTGCCTCTCCATATTCAACCCACCCCATAAATACTGCCTCTCCATGTTCAACCCACCCCATAAATATTGGCTCTCCATGTTCAACCCACCCCATAAATACTGCCTCTCCATGTTCAACCCACCCCATAAATATTGCTTCTCCATGTTCAACCCACCCCATAAATATTGCCTCTCCATATTCAACCCACCCATAAATAAATAAATACTGCCTCTCCATGTTCAACCCACCCCATAAATAAATACTGCCTCTCCATATTCAACCCACCCTCATAAAATACTGCCTCTCCATGTTCAACCCACCCATAAATAAATTCATAAATACACAACAGCTGCCTCTCCATGTTCAACCCAACCCCCCCATAAATACTGCCTCTCCATGTTCAACCCACCCCCCATAAATATTGCCTCTCCATATTCAACCCACCCCATAAATACTGGCTCTCCATGTTCAACCCACCCCATAAATACTGCCTCTCCATGTTCAACCTGCCCCATAAATACTGCCTCTCCATATTCAACCCACCCCATAAATACTGCCTCTCCATATTCAACCCACCCCATAAATACTGCCTCTCCATGTTCAACCCACCCCATAAATATTGCCTCTCCATGTTCAACCCACCCCATAAATATTGCCTCTCCATGTTCAACCCACCCCATAAATACTGCCTCTCCATGTTCAACCTGCCCCATAAATACTGCCTTACCATATTCAACCCACCCCATAAATACTGGCTCTCCATGTTCAACCCACCCCATAAATACTGCCTCTGTTCAACCATAAATACTGTCTCCATGTTCAGCCCACCCCATAAATGCCCCATAAATACTGCCTCTCCATATTCAACCCACCCCATAAATACTGCCTCTCCATATTCAACCCATAAATTCCCATAAATAAATATTTATTCTCCATGTTCAACCCACCCCATAACCTCTCCAGTATACTCAGCAATAATATATGCTGAAATCATCTCAAATGATGCAGGACGTCATACGCAAACACTGAGATTTTGAGGGTCGTTAATTATGGGGCTGGTTTGGGCAGGTTGAATAGTTTGGGGGTTAATAACAAAGGTTAGCTTTAGGATTCCATTCCCTACAGAACTTAGCATCTTTCTGGGTGATGAACCAGCCTAACTGGTTTTTACAACCTTCAAAGTTATCTGAAGATGAGTATGACAGATAAGACATCTAAACAAAACTGCACCAATTTTGCCCTCTCTACAAAGCAACAGAATGTCTGGCATTGTCCTGAGTAGCCAATTCTGGACACTTTTCATTGATTGATACCTTTTAATTGATCCAATTGGGAACCGTTCTTGTCTGAATTGAGTGTCTTGGTCAGTTGATTGTTACGTTAGGGTTTATTTACCTTTTACAGGTTATTTAAAGCCAGAAAATATTTTTACATTGTAAGAATTTTGGGGAGATAATAATGATTTACTGACACTATTAGAATAGAACTCAGGGTTACATGTAAATATTTCTACAGTAAAAAAAAAGAGACTTAGTTGCCAATCTAGTGGTACGCTTAAATTCATGCAATCAAGGTACCAAATCTTCTATATATCCTCACGATCAAACGGAAATAACACATTATTTATCTGAGATAATGGCAGGAAGTAATATTCAAGCTAAATAACTAACTCAAGAATGATTGATGGAACTAATGAACGATTTCTTTCCCTTAGGTTGCCACCCAAGGCTTGAGAGCCCAGGCTACTCTGCTATTTAACCCATAGCTGGAAGGAGATGAAACGAATTAATGCTTTTTGCAAGGATGTCAGTGTGAAAATGAATGCAAAAGATAAAGCTGAAATTTGAACTCAGTTTACTGATTCTACTGCATTGTGCTGATAACAATTAATCTATCGCTGCATCCATTTTCATATCTTACCCTTTTCTATTTCTTTTCTTTCAGTGGTCCTATGGAGTGTTGCTGTGGGAACTGATGACCCGAGGGGTGACTCCTTACCCAGATGTTGTGCCTTGGGACGTACACAGTTATTTACAGAGTGGAAGACGCATGCAGAAGCCCAAGTATTGCCCAGAATTCATGTAAGTAGATTCTTGCTTACCAGAGAATCACGTATTTAAAGGGTAAATAAATGCAACAGATTGTGTGTGTATACTCTCGGCTCTCCCGTCGAATTCGACATATGAGGGTTAAGCAGGTCAGTTCCTGGAGACCAACAGCCCAACACCAGCACATGATATTTGATTATAGTGGTGAAGGTTTTGTGCAGAACCATCCACATGTTTTGAAGGGCTGAATATAGAGACCTGGAGAACTATGTGCCACAAGGTCCTCAAACGACCCTCCGCAGGTTTTGAATTCAGAGTTGTCCTTCTCCTAGACCAGTTGCCACCCAAGGCTATAGAACCCAGTCTGTCCTGCTATTTACCCATAGCTGGAGGGAGAAGAGGATTCATACCTTTCTCAAGGGTATTAGCACATAAATGAATGTAATCGATTTGACTGGAATTCGAATTCAGCTCTCCAATTCCTCAATCCAAGCCACTAACCATTACTCCGCCATGTATATATTTATTTATATATATATATATATATATATATATATATATAATGAATACAGAATCCTTAGATATCCATTCGCTCAGGTGATAATTTATTTTGTGGACTCAGATATCCATCTCTTCAGGCCAATTTTACAAAAATAAATGTTCAGTTTATTCAAATTAATTTGAGCCCCATTTTTTTTGTAAAATTTGGTCTGAAGAGATGGACATCTGAGTCCACGAAATAAATTATCACATGACCAAATGGATTTCTAAGGATTCTGTATTTATTATTATATTGCTCTGTTCTTACTGTTCTTGAACTCTCTTTGGATTTATATCCTCCTAATCATCAAGTGATATTATATGTGTGTGTGTGTGTACGTGTATTTTAATATATTTTCTGTTTTTATTTTTATGGATACAACTTATTTACGTAAATGCTCTGTTTTTAATTAAACAGTATTAATTACATTTACTGGACTGAATATTTGAGAAATTCCATAGAAAATAAGTGGCCTTTGACAAGAATCAAAATTGCATTCCATACGCAAACTGTCATTTGGCCTGACGTGCTGTTAACCATTCAGCCACAGAGAACTTGAGGATAGCAAAGCTCAAATTACTGCTTATGAACACAGAAAGCTGTAAATAAGTTGTATCTATAAAAATAACATATAAACAGAAAATATATTAAGATATTTGGCGGATTTAACCCATTTCATATATATATATATATATATAGTTTATGAAAAATTAGGTAATCTGTATGGGTAAACCCAAGGAGGATAAAATCCAAAGAGCTCAATGTAAATCCAGAACAAATAATTTAAATAAAAACAGACCACTTTAAGGTTCCATGTAATAAATTATTTCACCACAGCCCTTTTAAAGGACTACGGATTATCAGACTTTACTTCCAAAGGTTGAAACAAAAAATGAAATTTACACATTTTTGACGGGCTGTATTAAACATATGTAAATTAATGAAGTGAGGAAGTGAGGTGGGGAGAGAGAAGGCATGAGTGAGTTAGAAGTAATTTAAAATTTCTATTCTTTTATACTTAAAATTACTTCATGTCCAGACATTGACACACGTCAAGTGAGTGTTATTATTATTTCTACCCTTCTCCCTCACCTCTTTTGTACTTGATAAACGAACGGAACATTTTAAGACTGAGCGATTACTTCAAAGACATTCTTACCCTTCATTAACGCTGATACATACATACATACATACATACATACATACATACATACATACATACATACATCCACATATACATTCCTGCCTACGTACACATAAACTCATTCTTGCAAGGACTAATATGAACATTTTGACAATCTTGTATCAACCAAAATACATTAATTTTATTTGTAGAGACCGTAATTGATTTATATGTATATAAATTTGTTGTTTCACTTTACAATTTGATTTTCTTGTTTTATACCCCTCTTATGGTAGGCTATCTAACTAACAAGACCAAATCAAACTAATATAAAAATAATATCGTTGGAATTATCCCTACCATTCACAAATTGGTTTTATATATATATATATATATATATATATATATATATAAAATAATATCTGTTGATAGTAGGGCTAATTCCAAGAAGGCCATGAAATCCAAAGAGAGTTCAATGTAAGAAACAGATAAATATATAAATCATGATAACAGATGATCCTTAAAAATCCATTCAGTTATAATTTATTTCAGGAATATATACAAATATTCATCTCTTCAGATCAAAGGTTTTTTAATAAATGGAGTCAATTCATCCAGACAAAAGGAAGAGGGAAAGAAAGAAAAAAAGAAAGGGAAAAAAATTTAAATTAAAAGAGGAAGAAAGAAAAATAAAAATTTCAATATAAGGTTTAAGAAATTGGTGGGGAAAGAAAGAGAGAGAAAAGGGGAAGATAGGGGGAGAGGAGAGAAGACAAATTGGCTCCATTTATTAAAAAAAACTTTGATCCGAAGAGATGAATATCTATATATTCATGAAATAAATTATAACCAAATGAATTTTTAAGGATCATCTGTACATATTATTATTATAATAAATATATATATATATATATATATATATATGTATGTATGTATATAATATATGAGGGTTGTTCAAAAAGTTCTAAGCTTCATCCAGAAGGATTTGGTGAAACAAGACATTTTTTTTCACTATTTTTTAATATAGAACCCACCCTAACCTTGATAGCAATGCACTTGGTCCAATGCTGCAATCTAATCACAGAGCAAAGGCATCGTTCTGGTGGAACTCAGCTCTGATTTCATGCTTCCCTGCCGTCTACAATCTTAAAGAATTTAAATGCAGCATCAATCACAATTTTCTGTCTTCCTGAATTCTATTCCTTCATTGTTCTTTCCCCCTCACTTCTGCTCACTAAAGATTTCTCATTCTATTTCACTCCCAGTAACCCCTTGCATCTTAGTGGCATTATCGCCATCTTCTGTCTTCCTGAAATCTGTTCTTTTATTGTCCTTTCTCCTCACTAAAGTCTTCTCATTCTCTTTCACTCCCAGTAACCCCTTACGTCTTAGTGGCTTTATCTCCATCTTCTGTCTTCCTGAAATCTGTTCTTTTATTGTCCTTTCTCCTCACTAAAGTCTTCTCATTCTCTTTCACTCCCAGTAAACCCTTGCGTCCTAGTGGCTTTATCTCCATCTTCTGTCTTCTTAAAACCTATTCTTTTATTTTCCTTTCTCCTCATTAAAGTCTTCTCATTCTCTTTCACTCCCAGTAACCCCCCCCACCATGTTTTAGTGGCATTATCACCTTGCTCAAGGTGAAATGATTAAAAAAATAATTTGAATTGACCTTTATATCATGCCTTATCAAAATACTTTCGTATTGTCTATGAAATATAGGTATTCATCCTTACTTCATCTGAAAACAGTTTTTTGTTTTTTTTTAATTCCTATTTTTATTAAATATTTGTGTTTTTTTTTCTATTTTTCCACACCAACAGCTATCAACTGATGCTGAAATGTTGGCAGCTGGAGCCTGATGACCGACCTTCATTCACAGAAATTCTGGCCTCTTTGGACAAAGTATCCCAAAACGAGATTGGTGCTGAGGGGGAGGGTCAACCTCTTAACACCAATGTTGAATTTACTGGATCTACCGAATACCTGGAAGTCATAGAATAAGGCATGAACCTTAGAATATCACCTATCTAAATGGAGCCAATGACCCCACTTTCTTGACTGTTGCATCCTGTAAACCTTATTGGCTAACAAATCTAGAAAGCATAAATGCTCCAGTTCATCTCTGAAAAGATACACCTTCTCTTTTGTCAACTTGTAAAATCCAAAAGTGTGATGCCTGTTGACTTGTAAAATCTATAAAAATGGTGCCTGTCTTCTTGTAAAATATAAAAAAGTGGAACCTGTTGATTTTATAAAAATCCAAAAAATACTTGGTACCAATCTGTTTGTAAAATCCTATGGTACATGTCTACTTGTAAAATCTCAGAATGTGGTACCTGGTAACTTGTAAAAATGAAATTTTTTTTTTTTTGTTTAGTTTAACAATAATTTTGGAAAAAAAAGAAAGAAAAAGTTCTGGAACAAAAACAACAAAAAAAGGGAGAAAAAAATCATTAATTCCAAAAAAAAACAAAAAAAACAATAAAATAAACAAATGAACATAAACTTTTTTCAGGTGTGGCTCAACTTACCTGAAAAAAAATAAAAATGAATGCATTAATTAAAATGTAATATATTTGGCCTCAGATCTATTTAAGGATTATTTTCTGCAAAAAAGCAACCTTAGCACCGGGCCATCTTACCGAAATACCCAGTGAAGTTTCAATTCACTCTTAATGGCTTGTGAGATGAGCCAGTTAGCAACATAGCAGTGAAAGGTGCCTACAAAAATATATCTAACATGGCCAATATATTGGATCAGTTTTTTTTTTTTAAACCTCAAATTTATATCTACTTCAAACTGAAATTGCAAAAAGAAAAAAAAGGAAAATGAAAAAGACATTTTTTTACCAGAAAAAATATCTTATGAAAGATTCTAAAATTTTCTGTAAAAAAAACAAAAAAAACAACCTCTCCCCTTGTCTTTAATAATTTTGTGTGCCAACACAGGCAGAAAAAGCTGCAAGCACACACAAACACACACACACACTGAGAGAGAATGAAAAATCAATCGGAAGATTGAAAAAAAAATGATCATTTTTAATATTTTAAAATTATAAAATGAATGTTTAAATATAAAAAAAAATAATCAAACACTACTATAAAATTCTAATTCTGAGTTATGGCTCATTGACACCTCTATAATGGTCATGTAGTACCAAACAATAACTTTTATGTAGATTCTTATACAAGAGTCAACTGAAAAGTTCATAGTCTGACCACAATATAAATCTAAGTAGACACATCAGTTGGTAGACTAAAAGACATGCATGTGTATCCGATTACAGCAGTTGACCAAGCAGCTATTGTATTCTGGCACACTTGCATGTCTTTTAGCTGACCAACTGGTGTGTCTGCTTTCATTTATATCATGGTCAGACTATGAACTTTCCAGCCAACCCTCATGGTTTTTAATCCCACCATAAATGTTCTGATTCTGATTGATGGCTCATTGAAATGCCAGACAAGTATTTTGTTGTTCTCATAGCCTTTAATCACATCTCCCAACTTCTGATTCTGAATATGGTTTTATGGCACATTGATTCCTCTATAATGGTCATAAAGTGCCTGACAAGGATTTTGATGTTCTCATAGCCTTTAATCACATCTCCCAACTTCTGATTCTGAATATGGTTTTATGGCACATTGATTCCTCTATAATGGTCATAAAGTGCCTGACAAGGATTTTGATGTTCTCATAGCCTTTAATCACATCTCCCAACTTCTGATTCTGAATATGGTTTTATGGCACATTGATTCCTCTATAATGGTCATAAAGTGCCTGACAAGGATTTTGATGTTCTCATAGCCTTTAATCACATCTCCCAACTTCTGATTCTGAATATGGTTTTATGGCACATTGATTCCTCTATAATGGTCATAAAGTGCCTGACAAGGATTTTGATGTTCTCATAGCCTTTAATCACATCTCCCAACTTCTGATTCTGAATATGGTTTTATGGCACATTGATTCCTCTATAATGGTCATAAAATGCTATAAAAGTTTTAAAAAAAATTCAGTTTAATTTCTTTATTTAAAAAAGTCTGTTAATTAAATATGCATTTATTAAATAAAACATCAATTACTCATGGAAAAATATATCATAGATTTAAAATTTTAACAAAAATTCATTACTAGTACTGTAAAGTTTGTGTCTTGTCACCTTAACCAGAATTTGACCAAAGGCGAGAATTTTAAGGATTCTTAGTTAGACTGAGAACTTTGCGGTATTGTCACATCATAGAAATGATTACTGATTAAATTATGATTACTTAATTATTGATTAAATCATGATTAATTTAATAATTGATTAAATCATGATTCATATTACAATAGATTTAATTTTTTTGTTAGTCAAACTCTCGTTAGATGAAACCAGCTGTGAAAGTGTTTATCATGCACTCAGCAAGAAACTCACTAACAGGAGCTTGCAAGATGAGCATTTTAAGTAAATGCAGTTGGGATTGAGAAATAATCATTTCATTTTTATATATTTTTTTACTCTTGTTGCTTTCCTTGCTATTTATTTGGAAATGTTCAGAAAAATTCGATTTTTTAGTGTTACTGGCTCAGACCTTTACAGACAAGATCTGCTTTGCCACATTCACAGGGTTGAATCATCTTCATTCCCTACATATACCTTTGGTAAGAAGGATGTTCCATTCAGAAAACTTCTACTTAAGAACTGCTACTTTAGGGAACAGACTCCTGTGTGGGTGCTTTCCTGATTCCTACAAACTTAACCTCTTCAAGTCTAAGGCCAATCATTATCTATCTGCGATTTGCATACACGTTTCATATACTAAATGTATCAACCATTATGGGACAGTGTTAGTAATATATATTACTCTGTCCCATAATAATTGTACATTTGCATACACGTTTCATACACTAAATGTATCAACCATTATGGGACAGTGTTAGTAATATATATTACTCTGTCCCATAATAATTGTACATTTGCATACACGTTTCATACACTAAATGTATCAACCATTATGGGACAGTGTTAGTAATATATATTACTCTGTCCTATAATAATTGTACATTTACATACATATTTCATATACTCTTCACTTTCTCCTTATATATTTTGTATCACACACCTTAATCAGTAACCCTCTTGCTTGAGTGTCTCTTAGGCCTTGGATGAAGATTTTTCTAAATCATATTTTTAGTAATGCTCATAAGTAGACTGACTAAATTTGATTGTTATTTTGTCTGGACATTTCTTAATTTTTTTTTCCTCTCTCCATCAACATCCATTTTTTTAATGGCTGGTCTACATTTAACATGATCCCATCTGTCATTTATTTTGGCAAAACATGACAAAATCTTGTCATAATTGCAAAAAACATGTTTAAAACAGCAGCAAAAATAAGTAAAAACAAGACAAACATATTTTTTTTCTTAAATTGAATAAACATCTTAAACATTTTGGATATGATAAAATCCAAATGACATTTACAAAACGGCATCCCTAGAAAAAAAAAATATAAATAAACGGACTTGATTGAACTTTTATCAGAAAAAAAAAATGACCAGAATTTTAATCACTGATGCTGATTTGTTTCTCTTTATTCATTTTGACATAAATTAGTATAATAACCTTACAAATTCATTTTTACCATAGCAAAGTACTTTACACTCTCTCTCGTTCAATATACAAACATACATCGTATATAACTTGGACCAATTTAAATGTGAATTAAGTTTAAGCGTCTAATGATTTTTTTCTTTTTCTTTCAGATTTAACAACTTAAGTATTTAGCAATTTCAACCATCAAAAGTTTAACAATCAAACAATGTGTTAAAGTTATTGAAGCCTTCTATGAAAATGAACATTCAAACAGAAATGCATTTCATGCACTTCACTATTTTTGGGTCGACCAACCAAGAGTGCAATTGAAAACGATGTAACATTGTTGTGGAAAGGTTCAATTCTTGTGCACGATGACAAATAGAAGTGTCTGGATTTTTGGCCACATTCACATGCACTGCAGCAATGTTTTCAGCTGAACAGTGTAAACGAACACAGAATGGTGTTTTCACATCTGCCACTAACTCAGTTTGTTTGAATTTATGAACAATTTCTCCAATTACACTCTTGAAACTTTAACACATTGTTTGATTGTTAACATTTCCATGGCTGAAATTGCCAAAGACTTAAGTTGTTAAATCTGAAAATAAAAAAAATCATTAGACGCTTAAACTTAATTCACATTTAAAATCATTCCAAGTTATTGGAACACTGTTTATTATATAAGTATTCAGATATCAAAAAAGCAAGTTGTGTGTGTGAAGTGGGGGGTGGGGCAAGACACCCCTCCCCCCATCGAATCAAACTTCATTTTTTGTTCTTCCATTCTTTATCTCATAAAACATGGCAGTTACTTTTAATTTCAAAACTTCCATGTTAATTTGAAGAGGTAATTTTTAGAAAAAGCATTTCAACATTCAATGATAATTGCTTTTTTTTAATTTTATTTGTTTTTTTTAACAAGCAAGAAAATTTTAACATAAGGGGAAAACATGATTTTTTTTTTTTTTTTTTTTTGTGTGTAAATAATTATCGCCACCCGCAATACAACGGATAAAGTTAAAATACAAATCAAAAATTTCTAATTGGTAGATAATGGTTAACGAGCAAAGGTAGTTAACTATTGCTATTGAGTAGCGAGTTTGATTCTCACTAGGTGACACATTCTAGAGACTGTGTGCCAAAACTAAGCCCTACTTAGCTAACAGCAATAGTTTCATTTCAGTGCTCTGTGTATCTGTGCATATATATATATATATATATATATGTGTGTGTGTGTGTATAAAACATTGCTCAATGTAATACACCAGAGTTATTAAGTATATATTAATAAATATACATATGATCCCTCACCATTCGCATGTCTCAGAGTTTCTTACAAAACACAATCTTCAGGTGCTGAGTATAGACTGACCGTTATACAAATTCAATTAAAAAAAAATATATCTGTTTACTGCAATG